AAATACTTAAATTCCCTAGTTGTTAAAACATAGAAGATATATTGATTTTAATGTTTTTCATAGGATACATTGTTAATTATAATTTACATGTAGTACGTGTCTACACAAACACAGATTATCTTACTATTCAGTTGGTACCTCATTAGTTATTGAACATTATCCTGGTTATTAAATCATTAAATTAAGTTATTGAGCCATCAAATTCTCTGAATTATAACTTTTTTAACTTTTGTATGGTTACTAAAACTTATTTTTTGTTAATGAGAGTAAACTTATACACTTTATATATCAAGTATTAACTTTTATTTTATATCTAGAATGACCTAAATTGACTAAATGAGAGTAACTTAAAATTAATTTAAGTGTTTGTATGCAATTCAAATTTTTAAAAAACAATCTAATTATTAAATTTTTATTTAAATCAAATAATAATAAACTCAAGTTAAATTGCATTTTTAATATATTGTAGTTTTTGATGATTAAAAAGTACATCATTTAAAAAAAAATTTAATTTCATATTAAACAAACATTCTTTCTTTTAATTTTAAATAGCTCTTATTTAATCTTTTTTGAATTTTGATTGCAAGCTGATATGTAAAAAATAAAAATTACTTGTTAAAATTAACCAATAGGAATATTATATTAAAAATAGGGATTCTGTTGGAAGTTTTCATAAAAAAATTAATTATACTATACAAGCTACAAGCTACTAATACGTAAATAAATTAAAATTTTTTTTAAATAAAAATTGATAGCTCATTAGTCATTACATTCTAATTTTAGGTTCTGTAAATTTAATTATAAAATATGCATAATGTACTGAGTTATAGTATGTTTGCTTCTGTAGACACATAGACATTAGACATGGTATAGAATATAGACACTTTACATAATATTATTTTTTTTTTAGGAATCATTTTCTGTAGATGAATTTTTAATAGAAAATCGTAATAAAATGACACTAGAAAATATGCGTGTTGAAATGGGAATTTTTCTTAAAGACCTGCGCACTAAAATGATAAATTCACTCAATGATGACTGTGATAAGTATTTTCATTTATCTAGGGGATTAATTGGCATTGATCAACAATTGGCAACCATAAAACCAGGATTAAGTTTGTTGAGTAACTCTGTAAATGTATGACGTTATATGATGTTTGGAGTAATTTTTAGAAATATAACTATGTTCATAATTGTATTCAGGAAGCTAAAAATAATTTGGAGAATACATTATGTTATCTGGATAATGAAATACTATTAAATAAAAAAATATGTGAAGATAAACAAGCATTTCATGCTATTGTCAAAGTTCAGAAATCTTTGGAAAAATTAGATGAATTATTATTGGATCAAAATGATTGTAATATATTTGTTTTAACACGAGCTGTAGCTGAATATAATCAACTTTCATCAAGTATGGCACAATGTAATGATATATTGAAAACCGCGCATTTGAAGGTATAAAATCTAAAATTTTCTTTTAAATTAAATTTTATATTTAAATGTAAAATATACTTAATAATCTTTTATTATAAAATAATAGAACTTTATGACTCAAATTTAATAAGGTTTCACTTCTATTTTTTTTTTTTTTAGAAACAAACAATGCTGAATAATTTATTAATAAATAAATTAAATGAAGCATTTGTGTCTTCAGTATCAACAAATACAAATGTGGTAAAACGTTTTCTTGAACTATATTTATCTTTGGGTAGAATAACATATGCTGAAGATATATGTAGAACTGATGTTGTGACACCAGCATTAAAGTCTATATTGAATGAAAATTATTTACGGAGTTGTAAAGATGGTTTAAAAGAATTATACAGTCATTGTTATGCATTCCTTCAAGAAGATTGGAAATATTTGCTTGAAGCTGCAAAAGAACAAAACAATATGTTAGTATTATATTTAACATTATTATTTATTTCAATAACAATAATATACATTGATATGTGTATTATTTATTTATAGAAGTAACAAGTTTGGCAAGTTCAATTTTGTTTCAAAATGTTTTTGGCCTGTTATATTTGATCAAGTAAAAAATAATTTACAGTGTATCTATAACTTCAGAGAACCTGATATTTTTATAAAAGTATGATTTCCTAAATATTTTATAAATTAAATTAATTTACAATTCATAAAACGAAGTATGACTATTTTAGAATTACAAAGTAACATTCAATGATTTTATGAATCATTTGGTTAAATTATCTATCTCGCAACATGAAAGTGAACCATTAAACAAAGTATCAAGTTGGAATGATTTTAAAAATTGCTGGAATCTGCCAATTTATTATCAATATCGGTAAGCCAAAAATATATTTAACTATTATAAATCGTGGGTTAAGATATTTCTTCAAAAATTATTTTAAATGTTACAAATTATAATAGTATTAAAATTTGATAAGAAATAATTTTGATATAAATCATTGAATTCAAGTTTTCAAGAGATTGGATTTCGCGCAGAAAACGTGATGAATCACGAAAGTTATGAATCATGCGATGATGAAACATTTAAACTCAAAGTCACAAAAGCAGTATGGGATTCTATGTGTTCTTGTTTAGACCCAAATATCTTCATATACCAATTAAGCCATAGGTTACTCAACTATTAATAATTTAAAATTAAATATACAATTTTATAAAAACTTACATTTGATTTATTATTTTAGATTTTTCAAATTAATATTACAGTTAATATCTAGATATCAGACTTGGGCAGAAGATGCTAATTTCAAATCTAAAACTGATTTGAAAAACTTTAGCACTCGTATTAAATTTCTTGAGGATTTGGAATGCGATTTAAATATATTTTATAATAAATTAAATGATATATATTTCATGTTTGAAAAATTGTTATGTACAAAGGTACCTGCTGATGTATTAGAAATACAAAAAAGTAAGTGTACCAAATATTTGAAACATTATTTGTATTTTTATATTTCCTCATTTATACAGGTAGTATAGTAAATAACAATTTAAACACATTGATTAATGATTTAAGCAAGTGTAAAGTGCAATCTGTGACAGATGAAGCAATGTCTCATGTAATAAGAGTAACTGATGTTCCAAGGTTGTTCAGGCACACAAATCGAGATTATCCAACTGAACCATGTGCTTATATGAAATCAATTGTAGTAACATTAAAAACATTACAGAATAAAAATTGTAAAAAACAAGTATTAGATCATATAGTAACACAGTGAGTACTTAAACCAATAAAGATGCAATATATAAAATTTTAAATGCGTCCATTTATATATTAACTCTTATTTTAGATATGTGGCTTACGTTGATGATGTAATGAAAGCCATTAAAAAAACAGAAGAAAGCTTAAGAAAACTGAAGAAAATTAGAGATCCAAACTATAAAGTTAATTCTGATGATGATAAAATTCGCTTTCAGCTATCATTGGATATAGATTACTTATTATTGTCTGTAAGTAAAATATAGCTTTTTTTTTTTAAATTTACATTTATTATAATATATTGTTATACATTAGTTGGTTATCATTAAGAAGACTTCATAGTCAAATGTGTTGTCTCTGACTTACTTATGTATAATATAGAAAATTTGTGTTCAGGGGAATCAATTTTATGCTGTTAGCTTTAATATTAGAAGTCAAATGACCTATTATCAAGCTTAAATGCAAAAATATTATCTAGAGCATCTTGAAGGCTTTTATTGATATTTTAATTTTAAATGAATTTTAAATATTTTAAAATTTTATCATATTACATAGCTCAATTTAAAATTAAAATATCAATAAAAGTGTGTATGATGCTCTAAGTAATATAAATTTAATAATATATCATTTGAGTCCAATATTGAAGCTAACTGCATAAAATAGATTCTGCTGAACCAAAATTTGCTATATTGTATGTTAGTAAGACAAAGACAACAAATGCAGTTTTGGTGTCCTCTTTAATGTTAGTTTTTAAAAATATGAGTTCTTTAAAAATTCTTTAACCTTCTTAGAGAACTATTGAATAGAAATTATAATTGATTAATAGTTTATAAACAGTCATTAATAATTCTGTAAGAATTAAGTCAAATGGAGAATTTCAAAAATTAAAAACCTTAAAAAACAGCTAAATATTTTTAAAGGCTTCTCCTAGTCTTATTTAAAAAATATATAAGTATCAATTAATATTTAGTTTATTTCTTTATAAAATTTAATATTATCTTATTTATCTATGAAACTGTTAACCATTTTTTTTTTAAATAAAAGGCAAGAATAAAATTATTGACATATGTATTTGTATTAATATATTACATATTTTTTATCAATAAATTTAATGTATTCGAACAAATTTAAAGTTGTATAGAATCATAACTTAATATTGTGTAAATTATAATAATACATTATTTAGTAGAATTATTACTAGCTATTGGAATCATTGAATAAGTACAACAAAAAACTGTATAATTTGTATTTGAAATTACTTCTTTATTATTATTTTTTTTTAAACAAATGTTTTTCAATAAGAATTAATAAAAATTGTGAAGTAACAATAACTGTCCATATTGTAATTAAATTTTTACTTTTACTTTAAATAACATAGGAATGATATGATATATTAAATATAACATTATTATATGATAAAAATAATTATAATATAGCAAACAAAATAATTCATCTTGTTAAGAAACTATTTTTTCAATGACAATTAAATATTTTTTAAGTTAAATAAGGGAATATTAAAAATTAATAACTACAGCATCCAATTTTAAAAAGTTTTATATTTAAAATGTAAAGATCACAAATAATAATGCAGCGTTTCTTTATTAATGTTCATAAATCATAATATTAAGAAATCAACAGAATAATTTTTATAAACTAAACCTTTAAATAATAATATTTATTAAAATATTACATTATGAATTGAAATTTCATATTTGACAATAACATATTTTGTAATTCTATGCAAATGTATAGAAATACATTTTTAAAGCGAATTCCATATAACTTTTTAAGAAACTATTACTCTTAAACTATACTATTTGATGCATACTTAAATATAATTTATTATACATATTTTATTTCAGATTGGCGATATGAGTTTGCCAGAAGTAAATGATATTGAATTAAAGTTGGACACTGCAAAACAAACAATCCTTGTTGATAAAGTATCATAAATATTATAAACATTAAAAAGAAAAAATATATATTTATATATATACAGTTAAAAATATTTATTTATAAATTTATAATTAATATTAATAAAAAAAATTACTAAATAATTTTTTATCAACTCATTCGACAATCATTAAAATCATCAGATAATGGATCAATTCCAAATTGATCACGTATAGCGTCCAAGTCAATAGTTTCAGGTCCATCAGATGTAGTTCTTCTCATATTGCGCAATATTACTTCAAACGGATCAGCCATCATACGTCTTTGGTTTATTGTAGCTGTTCCATTATAATCTTCTATTATAAACATGTTGTCCACATCCTATAATATTGCATTAAATAATTAAATTTAATTTCAAGTATAATTAAAAAAAAAAAAAAAATTAATGGTTTTACATCTGATAATGGACTCCATAATTTGACTTCATTATCAATACCACTAGTTGCCAGCATAAACTCTGAAGGATGCGGTTGTACACAATTTACGATTGAACTATCACCTTTCAATATAAGTAAATTATTCTCTGTATTTTTTTCCCACACAAAAAATAAACCATCATCTGATCCAGCTACTATGAATTGATTTTGACTGTAAAAAATGTAAGACTTAAATATATAAAAATTCATAATATATTAACAATAACTTTACTTTCCAAAAAAATTAGCTTCTTTGATGTCAGTAGATGTATTACAATGCCCATAATATCTACGATGATAATCTTTTGAGCGACTACTAAAGTATTTCTCAAAGGTCTTCTTTTGGGTTTGTTCGACCTGTATAACTTCAACATAATTTACCGCAGAACCTGCTGCATCATGCATTTTTTGTTTTGCTAAATAAAAAATACATTACAAAATTAATTAAAACAATAAGTAATGTATACAAATTATTTAATAGATTAATACAAAAATACTACTAAAAAATTTACCAATTCTTTCTTTATTTGAAGTTTCTACTTTTAATAAATCACTTTGAAGACATTTGTAGGCGGCACTAGTTTTATATGATGGGTATTTAACTGTAAACTGATCTAAATATTTTTTAGAATCTTTTAACTTGCCCAGTTCGTATAGGCATACTGCTAAACGAAAGTGTGCTTTCATGTGATTAGGCTCCAGTTCTAATGCAGTTATACAATCTTTAAGTGCTGCATAGTAGTCCCCATGCCACTTTCTTTTAATGTAAGCTGCAGCTCTATTTGAAAATAATACACTACATTTATGAATATCTATAGCTTCATTATAAAGGATAATGGCAGCAGTGTAATCTTCTTTTTCAAATAAATAATTTGCCTGTAAATTTTAACAAAACTTATTTATTTATTGTTATATAACACGTAAATATATGATTTTGCACAATTTATAATCTATATTTCTAACCTTCAATTTTAATTGTTCTACTTTATCTGGTAGTGTCAAATGGGGAACAGGAACTGGTTCATCTATTAAATCTAAAGAAGAACCTTCTCCGTTTTCTCCTTAAATTACATAAACCATCAAAATTGAATTATTAAATTGTGTACAAAACATTATTGTACAAAGAAACTTACGAGGAGCTTTCATAACTTTAGGGATATTGAAAAATGCATTATCAGCTTGATCCAATAAGTTATATAGATATACATATTCACCACCATAATTAACTAACAGCTCTTGTCCATCAGGACTAAAAGTCAAATAAGTAATAACATAACTTTTTTGTTTTTTGGGCAACACTTCATTGTTGTATGTGTGAATGTGACCCGGTACAAAATATTGAAGTGTAGATTGAAGTTTATTTAATGCTTCAGTTGCATTACCATCAGTACATACCAAAATAAAGTCTGAAGAATTACTTGGATTTGTATATTTTACAGTAAATGATGACAATGAACGAATCATTCTACGGTCATATAATCTTACATATTGATCATTAGCACCAACTGCAAGCTGCTCAGTTTTAAGTTGGTTTATATCTAAACATTTAGCTTCAATTTTTTTTCCCGAACTACCATACACCGATACCAAAGTAATTTTAGATTTATCATTAGGACACTCATGATTCATTCTCATATCATGTTGGCTGTATCAACATTAATAATAGTATTATGATTACATTATATATAAATTAGACACATTTACTAGACAAATCATACCTAATACATCCATCCTCTGAGGCACTCCAATAAACACTTGGTGTATCATTAGCTACAGCCAGACGTTTAATTCTTCCTTGAGAACAAATACAATTGCTTAATTGTTGACCTGTTGTTACATTATATGTATGTGAACTCCAATCACCAGCTCCAGTTGCAACTATATCATCATTACAACTAGGTATAAACTATATAAATAACAAAAAAAAAAAAAAATATTTTTTTTTTAACACTTCAATTATAAAATAATATTAGTCATTTTTTATTCAAATAGAATAAATGATATTATATAATTCAAATATAAACTACATTTACTTTGTTTGCCAAGAGAATGTGGTTGTACACAAACCAAAATAAGTCAAATTCCACCACAATCACCCAAATCCCAACTTCTTAACTCCAGTTATATATGTCATAGGCCATTTTTGCTGCGAAAAAAACTAGGCTCTTTGCAATGGAGTAGCTCGTTTGCGAACTACTTATTATTTTTCCAAACAGCTTGCTATTTTTCAGGCTCATTGCATAAAGACTAACAGCAGTTAGGCCTTTTAAAAAATCATAATCATTTTATGATAACAACCATTTGACTATTGTATTACTAATTTTATATTAGGTACTAATCATATGTAACATGTAAACTGAACTATTATATTATTGTATTATTGGTACATTATTTTCTTTTTGTCTAAAACTTTGCCATTATTATATTTTGAGTGTCTAACAGTCCATGATCTACTTTTTGAATATTGACTGCAGAAAAAATGACACAGAAATAGCAATAAGAAATTAGTTATAGTTGAAATCGCCAGTTATATTTTAGTCAATATTCCAAAGGTAGATTGTGGACCATTAGACATTCAAAATATATTATCGGCAAAGTTTTAGACAAAAAGAAAATAATGTACTAATAATACAATAATATAATAATTCAGTTTACATGTTACATGAAGTTAGTAATATAAAATTAGTAATACAATAGTCAAATGGTTATCATAAAATGATTGTAGTTCTTAAAAGGCCAAATTGTTGTTAGTCTGTATGCAATGAGCCTGAAAAACAGCAGGCTGTTTAGAAAAATAATAAGTAGTTCGTAAATGGGCTACCCAATTGCAAAGAGTCTAGACTTTTCACAAAAAAAAATTATTATCGATATGGCCTACGGCATATACATAAAGTAACCACATTTGCTTAGCGAATTAAACAAGTATAGGGTTTTTAAAAATATACTAGTGTTTAATATACCTTAACAGAAAATATGTTGCCACGGTGTAAAGTCTTAATAGTAGTTTTAACTTTTTGTAAAAATGGATCCCATAGTATTACTTGATAGTCGTCAGATGCTGATGCTAAGGTACTGAAAAATTATATTAACCTTAATAAATATATTTTTTATAATCATAAATTTCTATTTCAATGAATATTGCCAATAATTTAATATACCTTCCACTTTCATTCCATTGTAGGCAATTAACACATCCTTGATGTCCTTCTAATTGAGCAAGTAATCCAAGTTTTGAAATACATTTGTAATTCAAATTACTTTTTAATGCATACTTTGTGCGGATGTGATCCTAATCATCAACAATAGTTTTAAATTTAACCAAACTGAATAATATATATGTATTAGAATGTTTATATTACGTTCAATTCTCGATCCCTCATCAACTGTAAAATGTTCCGACGATTTGTTATCGAAGACATAATTGATGTAACAATTGACTTTCACACCAGCAATCAATTCTACTACTTATAACATTATAAGAGAATAATACTTTAGGAGTCAAGTTAAAACATAGAATTTAAACAACTCAAGACTACATTAATATTGAAATTGGAGTTACAATTACAATATCAAGTAATATTAAAAAATTACTTAAAAATCTCTAAATTTAAACAAAGAATAATTAAATGCAAATATAGTATTAATCATTAGTTTTGGTAATGCACAGTAGATAAAATGTATGTGAAATATAAATGATATATTTAATAGTTTATTATAATCATTACTCAACGAATTCTGTGATCAACAATCAGTAATCAAATAGTAAAATGTAAATATTGAATAATGTATTACACTATTACTGTATAAACGTACAATATTAAATATGAATGGTTACGACTTATAGTATTCTAGAACAAACTATCAGAGTCTAGACTTAAGTATTTAAGTAATAAAAACTACTTTTCATAGTCAATGGTCATCGCCAAGACTTAAGATTAAAGATAGTAGTAAACTAGTAAACTAGTAACTGGAGAACAAGTGAAGTGAACTATCTTATAATATAAAAAAATGTTGGTTATAAGTTATAATAGATATAGATAATATTAAACTGAATAGTACGAGTATAAAAATTAATGATAATAAATGAAGTCGATATCCTCCATTTTTGTGGAAATTATGGATATATTATCACACTACATTCTGGTCACGCCACCTAGCTAGAGCTGCTACAACTACCTCAAAAATCATCTTCAACGATTTAATAATACACCGAATTTATTGCTTTGAACCAAGGTGGATATATATATATATATATATATATATAGGTGTGATAATGTCATGATTACAAGTTACAACTACTCCGGTATACTAATACTACGAAATTCTGTTCAAATTATTATCACTTGTTGAAAGTTATACGATGTGCGATCTCTGCGAAAATATTGTTTATTTGCTTCGACTCTGCCGACTGCCACACGCTCACGCTGGCTATTGCCCGGAGACCGGAGTTATATTTTTTCGACCTGCTGTAGGTACCTATATACTATTGCCTTTTGCCTTTTTTTTCCTAAAGGTAATTGATTTTTATTTATCAGAAGAAAACTAATATTCCTAAAAAAACATTTATACATTTTTTATAATTGGTATAATGTCTATTCTTGATACTGTTTTATTTTTATTTTGTTAACTGTTATTGGCAAAAACTCATAATCACAACATAAACTCGTTATCGTATGTTAAGTCTACACGACTTGCGTCATACGTGTTAGGTTTTTAAAGTTATCTCAAAAAACTAGAGATTAGAGAATAACGATTAAAGTTTTACCTAATAAGATTAAAGTTCGTTCCTTATATACTCACATTGGTCACATTTTACAAATATTAGATATAGAATCATGAAGAAATAATCTGAAGTTAATTATCAATTTTATAACTACACACTGACACTACACAGACACACAATACACCTACATCTTACATTGATATACCTAGTCTAAAGGCATGTTAAAAAAAATCTAATAAATCTGTTATAAAAAAATTGTTTTAGTCCATTTGTGAAAAATATTAGTTAAATTTTTATTTCCGTTTTTAAATAATTGAGTTACTACACGAATTTAACAAAAAATAAACACTTATAGTAAATTATCTTATCTTACAAACTATAAATATTATTAAATTATTTTTAAATAATACTTACTTTAATAATATTATATGTATATTAATTTCATTATTTTCAAATTGAGTAATTTAATAATATTATAATGACATTCAATTTTTTTAATGTCCGCAAGCTTTATACTAAGACTGCCTTGTATAAAAATGTTCAGTTAACTAAAGATAGATTTCCTAACTTAAAAAGAGGATCCTATGCTAAGGTAGACTCTACAGATGTTGAATTTTTCAAAAGTCTTGTAGGTGTTAACAATTTTATTACTGGTGAAGAAGTAAAATCTTATAATGAAGATTGGTTAAAATCTATTTCTGGTAAATATTTAAAATGTCATTGATAATTCTTTTAATAATTTATAAATTGTAAGCATAGGTTTCAGTAAATATGTGCTTAAGCCAAAAACAACTGAACAGGTATCATCAATTCTTAAATATTGTTATAAGCGAGGTATAGCAGTTTGTATTCAAGGTGGTAATACTGGTCTCGTTGGAGGTAGTATACCAGTTTTTGATGAAGTAATTTTGTCCACTTCTGCAATGAATAAAATTATTAGCTTTAATAAAATATCAGGTAAATATAAAAGTCATTTAAAAATCATACTTATTAAGTAACATGTTAAGATTTACTTGTTAAACTGATGTTGGTTAAATTACACTTCCTAATATTGTTTAGGTGAGTAAATTATTATTATTATTTAAAATGTTCAAATATAATTAATATTTTCTTAGACATTTCTTTTTTCAAATATTTTTATTAATTATTTTTTTATTTAGGTGTTTTAGTATGTCAGGCTGGATGTGTACTTGAAAATTTGATGAATTATGTTCAAAATGAAGGATTTATAATACCATTTGATTTGGGGGCAAAAGGCACCTGTCAGATTGGAGGTAATTTAGCAACTAATGCCGGAGGTTTAAGATTAATTAAATATGGAAGTCTACAAGGAAGTGTATTGGGATTACAAGCGGTAGTTTTGTTAATGATTATTCAATTTAAAATTTAAATTATTATAAATTTGGTTTAATTGCATTGGTAATGTTTATCTTTAAGGTATTGGCTGATGGACAAGTTTTAGATTGTCTCAATACATTAAAAAAAGACAATACAGGATATCATTTGAAACATTTATTTATTGGTTCCGAAGGAACATTGGGAGTTATTACAAAAATTGCTATTCAATGTCCAAACACTCCAAAATTTGTTAATGTATCATTTATTGGTAAGTTAAAAATTTCATAATTGTTTTATTTTTAAAATGTATTATGTTCAGATTATTCATTAAATATTTTTTTTCCTTAAAGTGAAAATTTTACACCATACTTGAGACATGATGTAAAAAAACATAATTTTATTAGAATTGTTTCTATATAACAAAATTGTAATGAAAATTACTTTTGGTAGGTAATTTCAATAATATATTATGTTACCATATTTTTGACTTGTTTTGAGTATTGTGAATTTAAAAAAATTATAGAACTATGAACGTCTATAATGTGTAGATATTTAAATATGCGAGTAATACTTTAAATTTATGACTATATTAAACCTGTAATAATTAATTTTTTTTATTTATATAGAATATAAGGCACTGTATAATTTTATTGAAATGATATGTTTTAAATAATTGTATTATTTATTTGATTTTGCCGCTCTATAAAAACATATAACTTAATTGTACCCTAATTACAAACCTTATTATGTTTATTATTATTTATTTACAGGCTTAGAATCATTTGATAAAGTATTGAGTTTCTTCTCATTAGTACGAAAGGAATTTTCTTCTAGTCTTTCGTCATTTGAATTAATGGATTCTGTAGCAATAAAAAGTGTACAAAAAAATATTGGTATTAAATGTCCAATAAATGATGATCTAAACTTTTACGTTCTTGTTGAATTATCAGCTGATAATAATTACATTAATCATTCCATTCAAGAATTTTTAGAAAAAGTTCTCGTTGAAGAAATAATTTTAGATGCTACTGTAGCAGACCAACCATCACTAATTCAAGTAATGAAGATCTATAGTTAAAATATAATAAATAAATGGACATCAAAGTAAATTATTTTATTTAGAAAATTGAAAATGTTTAGAATTTATGGAAAATAAGAGAAAACATTCCTGAAAGTTTATTAAGATATGGATATGTTTATAAGTATGATATAACTTTACCTCATGAGTTCTTTTATAAGATTGTACCTGACATAAGAAAACGTTTAGAAAAACTAGATGTTAAAGCTGTTTGTGGATATGGACATTTAGGTAATAAGCATATGATGTTTGTGTTTACATTGTTTTATTAATATTACATTTTAATTTGATCATGTAATATTATATCCTATTTGTATGTATAGGTGATGGAAATTTACATTTAAATGTAGCTACTATTGAACAAAATGATGAAATAGCTTCGGCTATTGAACCTTATGTATATGAATGGACTAGCGATTATAAAGGAAGTATAAGTGCTGAACACGGAATTGGATTTCTCAAGAGTAAATATTTAAAATATTCAAAAACCAATTTAGAAATAGATTTAATGAAAAAAATTAAAAATAATATTGATCCAAAGAAAATATTAAATCCATACAAAATTTTTCCTCAAGATGATATCAATTAAATTTTATAAATTTTTTTTATTAGGTTTAGAGCAGGAAATTTTATTATTATTTTTTTTTTTCGACGTGTGAATTTTATTTTTAAGTGGTTTATTATGTTGTTAATCATTTGATTTATTGAGATTAAATACACATACAAATTTTATCAACACTGTTAGCAGACTTACTTATTTGTAGTACATACTACATACAAAAATATATTATGGTCGCAGAAGCCAAAATTTAATAATTTTGACTCAAAAGATAATATATTATCATAAATCGTGATAAAAGTTGAAATTGATAAAAAAAGGTATTATCTGGGATTTTTTTTTATTCCATGTCATTCTTGATAGAGACACATCGTGCATTGTTATTCTTCAGCTTGATGGTATAAAAATTAGTTAAATTTTAGTTCATAATGATTAATATTGTCAAACAGATTTGTGATTACTGTTTAGTGATTAGTGAAATAGTGAATAATGTATATTAATTATTAAGTAAAGCACTAAAGCGTCGTGCCGCTGTCCATGTGTAGTGTGTTAAGTGATTTTTGATTTGTGTTTTGTTTTTAGATCTACAAAAAATATTTAATTCCCGCCGGACTTGGAAGTGGTCATTATGGTAATGACATATTTTAACTTTTAAAATTATTTATATTTTGTATTAAATCGTATACAAACATGTCTATATCTGTGGATACATCTTTCTTGGTACCTCCACCTCCAATAAATTTTTCAATTCCGCCGCCTTCAACCAATACATCCATTCCGACAAACTACAGGTTTCAAGGTCCAATACCTTTACATATACGTGGTCCGAGTTTGGGTGGACCACCAAGACATCAACTAAACAAAAGTGTACCACCAGTAGATGTTGATTTTGATGGCAAACGCTTGAGGAAATCAGGTCTCCGTAAAACTGTGGATTACAATGCATCATTAATTCGAATGCTTCAAAATCGTGTTTGGCAACGAGATTTTAGAGATAGGCCATTTTTACAACCAGATGTATTATACACACCCCAACTTTTACCTCCACAGTGTTATGTGGATAACTCTGTAAACTCGGTTACTACTGCTTTTGTCAAAACTGTAACTAATAAAGTACGGTGTCCTGTATTTTGTTTAGCATGGACACCTGAGGGTAGACGTTTAATAACTGGTGCGTCTAGTGGAGAATTTACTCTATGGAATGGACTGACGTTCAATTTTGAAACTATTTTGCAAGCCCATGATTCACCAGTTCGTTCAATGGTATGGTCTCATAATGGTAATTGGATGACTACTGGTGACCATACTGGTTTTATTAAATATTGGCAATCAAATATGAATAACGTCAAAATGTTTCAAGCACACAATGAAGCTGTCAGAGGTATTAGCTTTAGCCAATCAGATGATAAATTTGCAACTTGTTCAGATGATGGAACTATACGTATTTGGGACTTTTTTACTAACAGAGAAGAAAAAATACTTAGAGGACATGGAGCAGATGTAAAATGCATTGATTGGCATCCACATAAAGGTCTTTTAATTTCTGGTAGTAAAGATAATCAACAGCCAATTAAACTGTGGGACCCAAAAACTGGACAGTCATTAGCCACTTTACATGCTCATAAAAGTACAGTTATGGATGTAAAATGGAATGCTAATGGTAATTGGGTTGTGTCTGCTTCCAGAGATCACTTGTTAAAATTATTTGATATTAGAAATCTTTCCCATGAAGTTCAAACATTCAGAGGTCACAAAAAAGAAGCTAGTACTATTGCCTGGCATCCATATCATGAAAACTTATTCTGTAGTGGTGGTTCTGATGGTGCTATATTATTTTGGAATGTGGGTGTTGATAAATTTGTTGGATCTGTTGATCAAGCTCATGATAGTATTGTTTGGTCATTAGCTTGGCATCCATTAGGTGAAGTTTTGTGTTCTGGTTCAAATGATTACACATGTAAATTTTGGACCCGAAATAGACCTGGAGATAAAATGACTGGAAAATATCACTCGGTAAATACAGTTTCTAACATGTTAAAAACAGATAATATGTGTGCTGATGCTCAATCAACTATTCCTGGAATGGGTTTAGAAGATATTGACGAAGAAGAATCTAATAAACCAGTGATTGATAATAATACCATACCACTTTTAGATATTGCTTCCAATGAAGAAACAACTAAAGTTCGACAAATTAAAAAAATTCCTTACTCCAAACCTATTCCTAAAAATTTCCAAAAGTTTTGGAATGAATATAAGACTAATGATGAAGTAATTGAAGATGATGCTGAAGAAAATCTAGGCCCTGATAGTGATGTAGTCAATAATGTTGTTGAAAGTTTAATGGATTTGATACCAGGCTCTAGACCAGCAAGTGAATTAAAGCCTGAATCTCTTCTTATCTATGGACAAATGATAAAAGTAGACCAAAATTCACCATTAGCAAATGCAATTAGGGAAGGTCGAGAATCATTAATGCGTCTTCTTCATTCTGGCGCAATTCCAGAAGTAAGACAGCATTTATCTTTTGAAAGTAACAATGATCCAATTTACTCATATGCTGCCAAACACCTTCAAAAAGATCAAGACTTACGTAGAAATCAATTCATTAATAATGTAAATGTTAACTTTCCTATGAATCAAGATGTTGATCTTCGAATTAATAATAATTTTAATCCAAATTATGGTTCTACTAATTTTCAAACAGCTCCCAATGATAACTTTAATAGACCTGTTATAAATCAACCATCAAATGCAAGTGGATACAATCAACAACCAAGATCTTATTACAATAAATCACATCCATACAATAACAATACGCAAAATAATAGACCATCTCGACAGTATGGAAATAATCAAAATGGTATGCGAAATGGTCCGCCACCTAATTTAATGGACTCCACCTTTTCAAGGCCATCCACTTACAGATCAAATTCACAAAGACCACCTCAAAATTATAACAATATGTGAATTTTTCTGAGTGGGTACTGAATTGAGATGTAAATCTATTACATGGTAATATTCAATTTATAAAATATTGTAAAATACTTGTTCATGTTTTGCATATAAAATATAAAATGATTTCCTTATTATAGGTATATACATACCTATAGTTATTTTATGTATACATTTTTTTTTTAGAATATTAACCAAACAATGTTCAATGTAATATTTTTTTTTCAGACTTTTGTTGATTATAAATTATTATTGTTCTATTGTATAAACACCTACAACATATTTACTTTTGAAAAGTTTAAAAAAGAAAAAGAAAAAAATAATAATTATATATTAAAATTTCATATTTTGATCCTACTCCCGTTTTCTAAAAAAACAAAAATATATTGCTGCATGTAACTATTTATAATAGATTTTCCAATCGTAGCAATTCGAATCTAATTTTATTTTTCAGATAAAACTCTCTGAAAAAAATCCCCCCCCCCCCCCAATAAAATCATGTATTTGCAAATACCTTAGTATCGTGGAGTAAGAGACTGTTGATTACATAAAATTGTTAATATTTATTTTAAGTAAACTGTATAAGAAGTATATTTTCCTGGGTTTGAATATGATGACCTCATGTTTTAACCAAGAAAGCAATATTATTTTTTAAAATAAAATTAAAAGTTAATTTATGTATTAATGAAGTTGTTTCTAACTGCTATTATTTTAATGTGTTTCACAAAAAATACTTTTAAACCTATTCAAAATAAAAGAAGTATAATAGGCATTAATTTTTTAACTTAAAAAACAGCAACATAAATGTAGATTTTGTGTGACAATTAGTAATAATTAATTATTGTTTAGCCAGTACCTAGTTGCAGTGGCATAAATTAGAGTGTTCCTTGTTTAATTTCAAAATCCTTTAAGTGTTGTAAAAGAATAAAATACTTAACAATTTTCAAATTTATTTGTGCTATCGTAATTACACATTTTTAATAATATTTTTATTCAGTTCAGAATTTAAAAAAATTATTTTTTTTTTTTTTGATACGGTAAACCCTTTAAATAGTTTGAACTCATTTTTTTATTAGGCGTGACAGAAAAGTATCTTCAAACCATAAGAAGGTAAGTGAATATCGCTCTGCTATACTTAAGGAATCGAGTGGATTGGTATTGTAGATGTGTTAAATTTGAATTCGATGATACATCAATATATTATATTTGATGTAAGAAATGTTTCTGAACGAAAACGGCTTATCTGCCTATATCACTAAGCGATATATGTTTTTGATGTAATTTTTAAAGTCATTTATTTTACTTTTGGGATCTGTTATAGTAGGTTGATATTATTTTATTACATATAATAATATTCATGATAATATATGTAGAAATGTTAAGTTCCCATGAACTATATATTTAAATTGAAACAAAATAATCGACATAATCACATAATGTTATTTAAAATGGTTATTTCGTCCAAATTTCTGAATTAAAATGCCTATAAAAATTTGACTTTGTATATTAATTAGATTTTATGGTTTTAGTATGAACTATTTATAAGTAACTTGGTATTAATTTTTTAAGACTTAGACATTAAACGAAAAATTTTTATAAATTTTAAACTATAAAATAGTTTTTAAGTTTTTACAATTTTAACGAAACTTATTTAAATGCATGTAGAAAAAAATGTGCCTGTCATTTTAGTATTTTTATACAAAAATAAGAATAAGTTTTGTATTACATTTTCAATATTTTTGACTAAACCAATAATTTTTATTTGACATAGATAGAATTTCTATGAATTTTGTCTAAATTCAAACGCTTATTAAAAAAAATATTGTGACTATAGATTTTCGGTATTTCTTAATTGAGAAATTAACCACTTATAGAGATATTTGTGTTAAATTTTTTTAATCATTTCTATCCATCAAATAATTTCCAATCTGAAAATATTTTATGTCTATAAATAGTTTAAAAATAATTGAAATATTTTGATAATTTTATCGTAAATAAAAAATAATATATTATCAATGTTAGGTAATAATTTCAAGTACCTATTTACGATTATTTATTTTTAATGTAACTCAAAAAAACAAAATTTATTTGTAAAAAATTTTACGTTGTTCCTTAATTTTTTATTTATTTGTTTCTTTTTTTATAAATTTATAATTGTATAAATAGTAATTATAACTATAATTTTTGTTAACTTCGATGTCCTGGAATGACTGTATAGCCATAATAGTTATTCATAATAACTCATCAATACCTAGGGAATTTAAAATTATTAATATTATATTTTACATTCTATTTTTATTTATCTAATTTTGAAACGACTTATGAATGGTATTTTCTGTTAGATTTTTTATCAATCAATTCAAAATTTTTAAATAAATTAAAACTGAGAATACCTACGTCAAATTAATAAATAAACATAGGTACTTACCTATATTATTTGCAAACGAAAAATTCGGTTATCATTTTAGATATTCGATGCATTTATATATAGGTATATCATTGCGGTAGGAGCATTTGTCACATTTTTAACAAAAAGTTGAAGTTAAAAAAATAACACTGGGTGGAGTGAATAAGCTGCCAGTTCCGAAATCCAGGAACCTAGTCGATATAGAAAAAAAAGTATTTAATATTAAACTAAATTAATTGGTATCATTATTCATTTTTATTGTTAATAATCCGATATAATAAGCTGGTTATGTTTCAAAGAGATACCTATTGTACGTACATATTATAGTAATTTAATTACTAGCTATTAGCTAATACATTTATAAACTATTTTAAGACTTTTTGGAAGTGTTTTATCATCGTTTTATATCTCCAAAATCCTATCCAAAACGAGTCAAAATGTCTACATTAATAAAGTAATTCAAAATTAAATAGATAAAATTGGTATTTTAGTATAAGTTCATTTCTTGTAAGTTATAACATATTTTATTAAAATATATTTTAAATGTATTTACTCTTACTTCAAATCTTAAATATTGTATTCACAAAATTATAATATGAAAAATTTTGGTATCTTCCCAAAAAAAAATCCTTGATCTACCCCTGGGCATAAAGTGACTTTAGATACCCATACTTTCACATCTAAGGGAATATAATCATTTTAAAATAATCATTAACATCGAAGTAATGCTAAAAAATCAATGTGTACTTTTTTTTCATGTGGGTAAGTGACAATAGTAAAATTCTTATTATATATATTAAGTACATAAATTAATGAAAAATGTAGGTAGGTGGTAGGTGATTTCTCTTCGCTCAAAAACTAATTAAGATAAATTTTAATTCGTAGTTTGTACTTTAAAATGCCATTTTTTTAAATTAATTGTTTTCATTTATTATATATTTATTATAATCCAAAAAAAAAATCATGAAAATTGATTTTTATCCATGGATTTAAATTATTCGATGGTAAAAAAATGTATTATATTTTATAAAATAATACACATAAATGCTAAATAAGATACTTTTTAAATGCAGGATAAACATTTGTAGGTAGTTAGTAATTTAAAAATATTTTGATTAATGAATTTACTGATGAACAACTTCAGTTAAGTCATTAATTACCTATCAAGATATTTTTTAATACCTATCATCCAATATCCATCAAATATCTGTTAACTATCTACCTACCTTATAAAAATTAAAAATTGCAAATAATTATAAAATATTTCGTTTGAATCATTGAAAATTATAATATTAGGTACCTATACGAGGTATGCGTATATATTATGAATATATTATTAACTGATAAAACTGTAAAATTTAAATAACTAAACTAGCTGTTATGATCACAACTTTGTAATAACACAATAAAGGTGAAGCTAACGTATAAATATAAAAATATTAAAATGGTGCGATGAAAGTTATAAGTATGATGTGGCCGGACTGACACAAGGGACACAAGCCTTGTATGTAAGTCCGGTATTAATGAATATCGAGTATACTTGTTATCGTGTTATTACCTTCCTCCCGTTCTTCGGAGGGTTCTCGAGATCGTGATTCAAGAATGTGATCAAATACACGATTACACAAATTAGATAGTAACATAACCTGTACTAACAATTAGTATTTTAGACATGCACCTTACCTGATTCGCCGCAGTGAATACTTATAATACGTTCTTCGGAGAAAGGTATAAGGTGACACAAGTTACGATACGATTTAAGGAAAACTTATGTTTAAATAAGAAAAACAACACTGATTTGAATTAGAAAAAGAAAGAAGTCCAGTTGTCGCTCGCAGTCTTGTGTGTATGTCGTATGGTGGTTTTGGGAAAAAGCTCCTGCTCGCTTGTCTGGTGCGCCAGCACTCGTAATTTTTGTCGGTGCTCATGCACTCGATAGTTTGGCCGGTGCTCATGCACTCGTGACTTGGCTGGTGCTCGTGCACTCGTGGCTTGGCTGGTGCTCGTGCACTGCCGGGAGAAGACCTGGTCGAGCCAGCCAGAGTCGCAGGCCATGCCATCATAAAAAAAGGACTCAGCGTTTTTTCGAAGAAATAGTCTTTCTTCTATACGACAGAGAGCTTCATTGTACCATGGCCCGCCTCCGCTGGCTAACAAAATTGGTTCACACGCTTTTCGAGATATTGTCACAACTCATGTGTCAATTCCTTTGTGATCATATAAGTTGTTTTCTTTCGTCAGTGGCAAAAGGATGTTTGTAGGGTTTAATCTGCGTGCGACAACTTGACCGTTAATTTATTTAATTGAATTTTATGTATATGTAATAAACAATGATATGTGAGCATATCATTACAACTTAAAAAAGGGGGAAGTAGGTAATTGATTACGCAGGTACCTATTTTTCTGTATATTAGTAGTTGAACGTACGTCATCATCAAACAAGTCATTGTAATGGAAGTTTTAAACTTAAATTCAATGATAAGAGCCAAAAGGTAAGACATTGTATCTATACTATACTAAGTACCTATACTTAAAATGATTCTAAGCAGAAACAATCTTTTGCTAGTCACCTATCATATTAATATATATTGTTAATAATTATATAGATATTTATTTTGATTTTAGTTATACACTAATACGGCATAAGCTATAAATATTAAATATGTAATGGTATCTATAAAATTAATTTAAATGTCTTAAAATTTTATGGCATGTATAAAATATAATAATAATACTACATAAGTATACCTACGCAGTATGTTAAAAGTTTCAAGTACCCACAAATTATTTATTTTTTTTAATTACAACAAAAATAAAAATAAAAAATAAAATTTTTATTTTTTATTTTAGCGTCTGATTCTGTCAAAATTTAAACTTTAGGTGTTTATCAAAAATTTTGTCGAATTACGATCAACTTTGTTAAATGAATTTCTTACTACAAAATTATTTTAACTTTTTTACTATTTTGTCAAAGTTCTTTGAGGTTTTATAAAAAATATTGTGACTGCATTTTCAATAGGTGTATTAAATTTTATTAGGTAGGTAGAATTAGTACATGAATACATTACTATAATAATATCACAGACAATTATACTGTCTCGAGTACAGAGTTGAGAGTACAGACCTATACTGCTCTTAATTCTTAAGTAGTTAAGTAGGTATAGAAATCTTAGAATAATAGCTATATTTTATTCTGTGTTGTTAATTAGTAATTACTATCAAGGTTCACAGTTGTAAGCTATTGTGGAAGTACGTTATTCTGTGGTGTTTTTGAAAATAGCTTATTCAAACTTCATACCGTCAATGAAGAGTATGAAGTTTACAGATCGACCGTGATCCGTGGTTTTCATCACAACTAAGTGTAGACTGCATACTCTGTACAGTAGGGATGGCATTTTTTTCTAACGCGATGTGCCAAAAATAGTATGATTTGTTTTATTTCTTGCGTGCCATTAAATTTTAAAAATATTATAAATGAGTAATATTATACACGACATATAAATATGTAAAAGAATATAAATAAGAAAAAAATTTTTTGTGTGCCATGTCAGATACGGCCGATACGGGTATCACAGATTTGCCATCCCTGCTATAGAGTTTATAATATTATAAGCATTTTAATATTATGTTTATGGTTTAGTTTTAGTGTGTAGACACAACAGTTATAGGTACGGGCATACGGCCATGAACACCATGTCACCATGGTCCATGATGTTTGTGTTCATGGAAGCGGCTTAACGGCTATATTAATTATATCATTATCAAGGAGGATTTTATGGATTTATAGATCCGCTTTGGTTATTTCTAATTTTATTCTACGGTGGTATCTATATACCTATATATATTTACCATTAATATTATTAACAGACGATTTTGTTCTAAGTATGATGAAATAATAAAATAATATTTTTTCATGGTACTATGATGATTTATGATCTTAAGGTATAAGGTGTATTGAATTATTAGGGTTTAAACTTAAAAGTAAAACCGTGATGGGACTGGAACTTCGTAGATAAGGTAAATGCATAGATAAGAATATGATAATATGGTATTACGCTTATCTATGACTATGCTGGAATATAGTAAAGTGGTAAACACTAAACAATAAATCATTTCAATTTTCAGTACAAGACAACAACTATTCTAAAAGTCATGTCTTTTTTTTTAACAATTAAGCATGTTTAATCTAGTCTCAACTCATCACATAATTTAATATTAATTAAAGATGTTTATCTTGTAATATTTGTGTTTATTGTCAGATTTGATAAATGTTAATACTCGATTGGGTACCTATCTGTAATAAAGTTGTAGCTCCACATTCTAAGACTGAATTTTTGTAACTACTAATTAAATTAGTAAAAATGGAAGTCGTTGACAATCAAAGTATTCCATGTACCATGTTGAAAAAATATCATGGCAGAATTGTTCAAGACATTCAAGGAGATGTGATCGAGGCCTTACTTAAAAAACAAGTGTTAACAGAAAGTGAATTTTGCGATATTAAATCTGTGGTAAGAAAGTTTTTTAGTTATGTAATGCTATTGTATTACAAATTTATCATACTAATTCTGTAGTAGTGTCGTATAACGACTCATTTTTGAAATTTTTTCCATTGTAATTCTGTTACAAACACAATTTGGGAGTCTAATTGATTTAGTTTTAACTAAAATTAAAATCTCTCCGTAAGTCAAGCTATTCATCAATATTAAAATAGGACACACATCCTCTTTTGTACCTCTCCTCCTTCTCTTCTCGTTAAATATTTATGTACAATCTAAACTTGTCTTGATTTTAATAGGGTTGATTAATGTTGGATCCTAACAGTTTTTTCAGTTTTCAATAACCTTCTTTTTTTCTGTATTGAATAATTTGTACCATTTCATCCTTCAGAAAGTAGTTAATTTCTTTGTTAAATATTTTATAAAACTCTATTTTATAGAAACTTATCATCACAAAAAAAAAAAAAAAAATTCAAACATTTGTCTAAGTTCAACTACAAAAGTTTAAATCAATTAAAACTGTATTAAACACTGTCTAAATTATTTATTTATCCCTGATAAGCAGGAATTCTGTTACGGTAAATCTATCATTACAAGTATTATATCTATTATTTCTTATATTTCTGAGTGTAGTATAGACTGTTTTCAAATCAATATCATTATGATCATTTTTTTTCAAAACCTTTGATTCTATAGACTACAACTTTTTTTCTAGAGAACTTAGTTTAGAATCTACTTTTATTTTAGCTCATTTTTTATTTCAAGGACCAATAATAATTAGTTAAACTAAATAATACCTGTTTGAATCTAGTTTCATATGAAGTTCTTTGCGGCATAGTCCTCTTTTATTCTGTTTATTAACCAAATTTATTTCTGTCTATTTGAAAAAGCCTTTGCGGCTTGTTAGATTCACAAAAGGTGGTACACAAAAAATGTATAAAATATTAAATGAAAAACTGCAAACACTTCTTTTTACTATAGATTATATATGCATAATATCCAATTATAATTTATTTTAGGAATCTAATAATTTTTTGTATAATTTTTTTGGATGGTTCATATGCTTCTGTAAACCATAACACTGTAAAGAACAGAGATTCTCAATCTTTTAACATCCGAGTACTACCTACACATTTTAAAAATTTTCACGTACCATTTAATTTAGAAAATTCTATTTTTTCATTTTGCTTTTAAAAAAATGTATAGAATATTAACATTTATTAAACAAAAGTAAAATTAAGTATGTATAACTTGATAAAACATAAATCGACCAAGCATTACAACATTATAGAGATTATCGTTTATCTAAATTTTTATCTTTAATGTGAGTAAAATCAGCTATTTGGTTTAGTAATAAAATAAACGAAATAATATTTTATGTATATAATAATAATATTTTATTTTATGATAAATATTTATTTTTCATTCACGTACCACCTTTGAGCTTTCTGTGTACCATTAGTGGTACGCGTACTATAGATTGAGAAACGCTGGTGAAGAAGATAAAAGTCTTATGCAATATGTTTCCATTGTTATAGATCTAGGAATATTGGTCCTCTTTTTCCTTTGATTATCAAGTTTAATTAGGTATAGTGTTGTAAGTTCTGGGATTCATTAAACATAACTTCAACATTTTAAATCAGTTCATTGTTTTCATAATTTATACTTTTTACTTATCAGACATGTTCTCGAGTATGATATTATTATTTAGCATCTTTTTTTTTTTTGTAAAAGACTAACTTAACATATTAAAAATAGATTCTTTACTTATGCTTCTTTCATTCTCAATACCGCAGTCACCCACCATAATTATTCACTTATCCCTGAAATTTTTCACATCTGAACTTAAAGTTGACTAATAGTTCATTAATTCCCTTATGAATGGGTCTCTGGATACTCCAGAACATCTCATAAGAGTCTTCTTTAGAATTCTTTGTTATTCAGTCTTTAACTTGGTTCTTTTCACTATCTCCAGTAGTCCAGTCACACCATCTTGTACTGCTATAAGTTATAACTATTTACTCCACCACATGTTTAGTATGTATTATACTAATATATATCTTGATTTTTGTAATTTTAAATTTGTATGATATTGATAACTATATTGTTAGCTTATATTATGTATTATATTTTTACCTCTTTGAAACTGCTGTTTGACAATTTATTGTAATAAATAAAATAATATTTTGTTTGTCGGTTATAGAAAAACTGTAAGGAACAAGCAGGTCGTTTGCTTGAATTATTGCCATCCAAAGGTCAGAATGGTATAAATCAGTTCCTAAACTATTTGTCAATACATTATTCATGGATAGCTAGTCTCTTACAAGATTCCATTACAAATAAATATAATTGCATGTTTTCTAAAGAAATGCAGGACATTTTGACTGCTGGTGAAGTACCTCAATTATCTTCAAGACATGTATCACGAGTTAAGCATGTATGTAAAGTGTATAAACTAGATATATTTAGTTAAATATATATTTGATGTATGATTTTTTTGTATTAGGTAAAAACATTAAAAAAACTATTAACAGAGTTGGAAGCAAATAATTTTATTATTGTAAACGGTATGACTGGCTGTGGAAAATCTAGTCTAATTGTTGAAGTATTAAATGATCCTTTCATTACAATACAATATTTACAGGTAGATATATAAGAAATATTATTAATTTATTTGTTTAATAGTAAATTGTAAATTATAGTTACTTGTTATAAAGTCTTATAAAAAAATTTATTATAATAAAAGTATTAAAATAATTGCAAGAAAATTTAATTAATACTTGTTTATAAATTGATTTAAGTTCTTTCCTTTATAAAAAAAATAATAATTACATAATAGATTAAAATTTTGGTTCTCTAATGAAGCCCATTGGTTGCTAAAAATGTTGATTTTAAACCTATTCAAATAAAATTTGAAAAGTTGAACTTGATTCAATTTAAACGTGTCTGCAGTGTTCTTAGATCATTTTCAGAGCTCTAAAGCTACATAGATCTTAGTTTGAAAATCACTTGGTTTTGGGCATAAATTAATTAAATCTGATTATCTGCATATTTTACTATAATTTTTCATGAAATTAATTATGTTATACATTTATTTATTTATTTTTTTTGATTATTTTATTAAGTAATACAATTTTTTTAGCATTTACTGAACATCGATGCAAATAATTTTTAAGAGTAATACTTAATTTGAATAAATATTTAATAAAATATCATGAAATGTATTTTAAGTAAGAATAACAATTATTTTTTGTTATACATTAACTAGCTGACTCGGCAAAAGTTGTTCTACCATATAAATTATTTCTGTAATAAACTTGGTCTTTGATTTTTAATGTTGAATTAAATTGTTGACCATTTGGAGCATTATTTTTTTAACCTAACTATTTTGGTTTCTCTGAACGATGTCATTTGGAAACAGAAATTGAATGTTCGAATTGACATCAGGTACAGGTTAGAATTTGGATCTTTACGGATAAGTAAACCGTTCAATGGTTCAGGTGGTGTTTCAATTTTCGGTAGTTGCACTTTTTCAGATGCACAACACATACTGGCTGGCTCATTTTTAAATTTAAGCGTTTGAAAATGCGGACATTCCTTGTCCATAGCACCAATCTCCACTTTTTAATGAGCGTTGTATTTAATATCAAGCCCATATTTGTATGCTAGATAAAAAATGAATTGGATGCAAATGCTCGATGTACTTGTTGGAATTGTTGTTATTTGCTCTGAGTGTGTTAACAATGAATTAACGTGCTTCTAAATGTCTTTATTGATTTTGTTCAGATTGCTAAGAAATCCTAGATACTATCGTGGTTGGTAAAAAAAAAAAAATTATATATTTATACTTAAGTGTACATTTATTAAAAAATATTGGTGTTTCTTTATTAGATTATGCATGCTACATACATATAAATCTTCCTCTTGAATCACTTAATTAATTTTAAAAAAACCACATAAAATTCCGTTGTGTAGTTTTAAAGATCTAAGCAGACAGACTGTGGAAAGCGACTTTATTTTATATTATGAATAGATTTAGATTATTTGTATTTGTTTCATTTACAGGGATTTGTGCAATGGATAAATGTTGGACGAGAAAATTCATCACATGCTGAATGTATTCAAACTGAAATATTAAATAGGTTAAATAACCAAGAACAGCTTATAACACCTCCCCTAATTATAAATTATGAGGATACAAGAAAAAAAATTCAACATTTGTAAGTAAAGTATATTAATCAATAAATTATATATTTAAAATCAGTAGTACTGATAATTGTTTCTTTAGAATTTAGATTAACTTTTTTTGTACAAAATATATAATGTATTAATGTACTAAGTTTTTATCGTTATTGAAAAAATATTATTAACTAATTTAAATATGTTAACATTATAGCTTTATTCAATTGTATGATTACAAATTATGTATATTAATTTGTTTCTTTTTATATCAATGTAGATGGAAACAAAAACAATTGGCTGGTTTATTAATTTTGGATGACGTATGCAGTAATGAAATAGTAAAATTCTTGGATATCGGGTGTAAAATATTAATAACAACAAATGATATTAGTATTATGGATGGTATAATAGATACTCGAATAAAATATTTGAAAGTCAATGAAGGATTTGAGGAAAAGGAGACCTTAAGTTTATTTTCAAAATGTTTAAATGTCAATTTTAAGTCTTTACCATCACATGCGTCAAAACTTCATAGTATATGCAAAGGTATTATAATTTTTTATTATTATTATTATTATGTATATATTATTTTTTTTGATTTAAATTAAATATATTAATTTATTTAGGATTTCCACTAACAATTTCACTTATTGCTTCACAACTTGAAATGCATAGAGAAGAAGCCATTAATAATACTGACCGATGGGAATTTTATTTGAACAAGTTATCAGATAAAACTAATAAACTTTTTAAGTAAATATTATTTTAAATATTTTAATTAGATTTTATATACTTAGCCTACTTTTAATTTATGACAGTTAAAATTAGGGATGCACTCAATTTTTGTTAATGTTTAAAAGTACATTTTTCTTCCCTGTTCCACAAGTAAACAACTTGTTGGATTATGAAAGAAACTAGTTGGTCATTATTAGCAGCTAAGAAGGGTTACAAATGTTATGATAATAAATTTTATGCACAAAATCAGCATGTTTTCTCATAGAACAGAATACAGAAACCAATTTTTTCTTTTTAAGGAGGAAGCAAATTGATTATCTATAGTTAAATTTAAAAAATTAAATTAAAAATTGTATTTATATATGATTCATGAACATTAATTTTGTGTTTGAAACTACAATATTATTCCAAAGTAGAATAATTTTAGTTCTAGAATGATGATAGTTTAGTTATTTTGGAGTGATTGATTTTTAAATTTTTTTTTTTATTACTTAACAAGAAGTAATACTTATACAATGGTTATCAATTTTATAAAATAATAAGTATGATTTTACTTAGGAAATTAAATATTACATTTTTAATTAATTTAAAATTTGTTTTAGTTAATACCATAAGTGTTTACATTGTTTATTTTTATAGATATTCGTCTTACAGTCAAAATCAGTTGAAAAGTCTTGAAAAAGCAATAGAAATGTGTATAAAGAGTTTATCAAGTGATCTTCAACAGAATTATCGAGATTTTTCTCTATTTGTAGATGATTTAAATATTAAACCAGAAGTATTATAGAATTTAGTAAGATTTCATGCATAAGAATATATTGTATTTAAATATTTACATTCTAGGTTTTATCCATACTGTGGGGTATAAAAATAACTGAAGTTACAGATATTATGTCAGAATTAATGCGAAAGAGTTTAGTAGTTAGGATTTGGAATCAACCTTTAAATAGTTATGTTTATTCAATACATGATTTACTTTTAAATAATTTAAAAAGAATGATGAATCATCAAGAATATAAGGTATACCTCAAAATTAAGGGAAGTAATTTAATTTTTATTTAACTAATTGTGTTGTTTGAATTTAGGAATTACATAAAAAATGTATTGATCGTTATAGAGATTATTGCAAAGGAAATTTTGCAAATCTTCCAAAAAATGATAATTATATATTTTTATATTTTGGATATCATCTTAAAAATGCTGATATGCTAGAAGAATTTCCTAAGTGGTTTTTAAATTTAAGATTTATTGAATCAAAAATATGTGCAACTGGTCCTGCTGATTTATTAGCAGATTTGAAAAAATACAAAATATATATTGTCGTAAAGGTAATATTTTTAATAATAAAAATAATTTAATTAATAAATATTATTTTTATTTATTTTTTAATTTACTGTTTGAAAAAATAAATATTTTTAGAGTATTCATGAAGAATATGTTAAAGAAATTGAAAATTTTGTTAAACGCTATGGACCTAATTTATATAAAACTAAGTGTGATATTGTTCAACTTGGCCTTCAGGAACCAGAAACATCTTTTATATACAAAGAATCATATAAACTTGCAAAAGCTAGTAGGAAATTATATTTTTACTATGAGTGAGTTAAAATTTTATTTTTACGTGCTAAACAAAATTTTTACTAATAAAAGTTACTTTTAGTATTCGTCCTTCTCAAAATTGTCATCCAGAACCTCATATATCTATTATCAGAGATAAAATTGAGACAGTTATTTTTGGAAATCAACATGATGAAGCTTTGATTGCTACTAATAGTGGAAGTATAAAAGTAAGTAAATATTTTAATTCTATATAATCATGGTAGATAAAAAAATTTAAAATAATATTTTTTGCTACTTAATTATAATGTCACAGCTATGGAATATTATCTCTGATAGATGTTTATATACTTACAATGGTCATACCAAAAGAGTTACTCATTTGGTTAAAAATAATTTAAAAAGTTTATTTTTGTCAACATCTGATGATTCAACAATACGTATTTGGAATATGAACAGTTTCCCTGAATCTGAAAGTATACATTATTTTAATTTATTTATAACAATACTGTTAATTAATTGATTTTTTTTTTCAAGATTCCCAAACACGTACTCCATCACCTGAAACTAGGCAAGAACACTGGCAAAATGTTTTTGGTCAAAATTTTAAAATACCTACTGATAATACAAATACTGATTGTATTTTTGTGTTGAAACATGATTCACCTGTTATTTTTGCACAATTTTCTCCAAATGATAAATTAATTGTTTCTTCCTCTACTGATAAAACTTTAAAGGTAATTTATAGATCAAATATTACTTTAATATAATTAAAAATATTACCTTTATTTTAATTTTAAAATTGTTATTTTATATCTTAAAAAAGAAGAAAGTTTGGCAAATGAATGTATCGCCTTGCTGTACACTAGTTCTTTATTATAGATGTGTTAAATTTAAATTTAATAATACATTATTGTAATTATTGTATACAAAAAATGTTGCTAAAAGCCGTCTGTTAGCTTATATTAACAAGTGATGTATTTTTGGTAAAACTTTTAAAGTCATTTATTTTACTTATATTATGTTTATTTTAGTAAGTTGATAGAATTTGATTACTAGAGCAAGGACTTTTATGCATTAAAAAATCATCAAATATTCATTTAAAAATATGCACTTATGCATCAAAAAATTTTAAATATGCAGTTAAATATGCTCTTAAAAAAATAAATACACTAAAATTTATAGCTCTAAATATTATATTTTTTCTTTAAATATTTAATTTTAATAATTTGTTAATATCTCTCTTTAAGTTTTTACTAAATTTGATATCACTTTATTGTTATCTAATCTACAGATTCACCACTATGATAAAATGAGTCTCTTGCGTCTTAATGAGAATATAGAAACAGTTAAATATAATAATTTGTGTTCTTAATCATTAAAAATATTCACTGAAAAATATGATTTTCGAAAAACCTTCAAAATATGCACTACAAACTAAAAATATGCTCTTATTATCAAAAAGTATGTCCTTTAAACCCAAAAATGTCAAAATATGCAAAAATATGCACTAAAAACTTTAAGATTTTGGTCACAAACGCTGTGAAATGTATTGTGTTCTTAGTTCTTACTCTGCGTACAAAAAAGTAAACCAGAAAAAATATGGGAATGCATGATAGTCCTTGCTCTATAATAATTACATAATATAATAAAATTCATAATAATATAATATACGTAAAAGTTTTAAGTTCCCATAAATAATATTTTTAAATTATAACAAAGTAATTGACATAATGTTATTTATCATTTAAAGAAACAATCTTGTCCAAATTTTAAACTAATATGCCTATTAAAAATACTTGTTTTAATATATTTTTTAGATTTCATGGTTTCAATTTGTTTTATTTATGAGGAATTTTATTTTATATTTTTAAGACTGACTTATAGAACAAAAGATTCTTATGAACTTTTAGCTGCAAATTCATATAATAAATAATTGTGCGATTTATTTTTCATATTTTTATACAAATAATATAAGACTAACTTACATGGGATCTTATTAGGATCTTTTATCAATTTTTCAAGAATTTTGACCCAGCGAATAAGTTTTTATCAACCATTATAAAATAAAATTGAAATCTATTATGCTTAAAACTCTATAGGAATTTATACATTTTCAAAAATGTTATTACTTTATAAAAATAATAATATAAACTTTTGGTGAGAATTGCATGCATCTACTGTTATTATTATTATTTTTTTTTTGAAATAGGACTAAGTATTTAAATCATCCAAAAGTGTTGTTAGAAAAACAATTATTTTATGACTGAATATTAAATCTTATAAACACTAGAATTTCAAAATTTCGTTAAAAATAGTATTTGAATGAAAATTGTCATATTTTTTTTTATTATTATTTTTTGTTTATTTTTCTTAGTTATAAAATTTACTTTTAAGAATTTTGACAAAACTACATCCATTTTTTTAAAATTTGATGCATTTTTAATACTCCAAAAGGTAGTGTTGAGTAAAGAAAATCTGAGCTATGCTCAGAGTCTAAAACAATATTTTAAATAAGTTTACTCTGTATAAATGAGAGTAAAACATTATTTTATAGTTTTTATTTTTCTTAATCTGTGAAAAAAATTTATGATGCATTTGTACTCTTAATAATTTTGAATTTTTTGCTAAATTTGGATTTATATGTTATTTAAGTCTTAATTTAATTCAGCATGCGTTAAATATCATTAAAAAAATTAATAACATAATTATTGTTTTTGTGGTTTCCTATGATAATTTTGATACCATCTTTACATTTTTATACCATGTTAACTTTTATTATACTCAATAATATTCATTAAAAATTAAAATAGGTATTTGTAATTAAATTTGCTTCCTTTATAAAAAAATTAAAAGGAACCATATTATTTTAATTTAATTTTTTTTTATTGACCTTTTGTCTAAACATAAAAATCTAGAATTTAGTTATAAGAGTACAATTTACAGTTTTTAAAATTGTCTTAGTCTTGAGTTCTATTATAAATTGTTTTTCTTTTTATTTCTTTAATTGAGTGTTTTTTATGATGTTTAAAAAAGTCCTTAAACTAGTTAAACTAACAGTATTATTCTTAAGATACTTAAATATAATAGTATTTACTATTCTTAATGTAACTTATTGATTACATTTGTTTAACTCAAAGTATAAATTTTTTATTTTAATTTAAAAGTAATATTTTATTTATGAAAAATAGATTTGGAAATTGAAAGAAGGAAATTATGAAATTCAAAATTCAATCATGCAAACTAATACCATCAATAAATGTTATTTTGTGGAAACTAAGACATGTGATAAAATACTATTTTCAACAATTGGTTCAATATCTAGTGGCATATATGAATGTGAATTTCCTTTTGAACATTGTACTGGATTATTGTACTTTAGAGAAAGATTGTTATCATTTTTTCATATACCTAGTTCAGAAGGTTAATACTATTGTTTAACATATACAATATACAATTTATATACATTAAAAAAAATAATAATATTTACATTGTTTATAGGACAAGATAAAATGCTGGTTATGACACCAACTTTTATGCAAATTTATTGCTTTAACTGGAAAGATGAAAAAAAAACTGCACCTCCATTAGTCTATCCAAAACCAATAGGCTATCGGCAATACAAATTAATTTCTATTTCTGAAGAAAATACAAATAATCATACTCGGTACATAGCGTTCAGTTTAAGTAATAGTACAATAAAAGTTTGTGATTTATTCACTGGGTACAATTTTTTGGATTTGTACAATTCTAATGAGTAAGTATCAGTATTAGGTTTATTTAATATTGAGCTTATTTAAATTTTTATTTTACAGAGGTATATCAAACTTGGACTGGTTTTGGTCTAGAATAGATCAGAGTTTTTGGTTACTTAGTGCTGCTAACAAATCTATTAGATTGTGGTGTCTAAAGGATATTAAACAATATGCTTGTGCTCATAAAACAATTTCTACAAATCAATCCAATAATACTATTAAAAATATGTGTAAAAATGAAATATTATCTCTTCAAAATTACAAATTATTTTCTGAAGAACAAAATTTATATTGTTATAAACTTCAACGAAATTTTGATGCTGTATGGCTGGATAATGATTCTGTATTAGTTGCAGCTGTTACTAAATGTGGGACATTAAAGGTAATTAATTGATTTTAATATAATTTTGAAATAAAATAAAGTAATGTTCTTGAGAATTTTATACTATATTAGCATTGGTAAAAAAGTAAGAATTTTCTAGGTATTAATTTATTACATAACATATTTATATTGTAAATCTATAATATTTATTTAATTATTTGATAAAAATGTATATTAAAGAGTACATTAAATTTGTTTTGTATTATAAAAATTTCATTAAAACCCTTAATTGAAATAATTTGGATTATTGAGTATTTGATTAATAACTATGGGTTATTATTAGTATGATTATCATATATCAAATAAAATTATTTATACACCTGTGTATTCATTAAGTTAATCATATTTAGAAAATAATATATTGGTGAGAGACTTATACATCAAGATCATGGCACTATTTCAATTTTAACACATATTTGTGCTTTTTGCTATAGGTTACATATAAATATAGTGGTACATCTGTTGAGTATAGTTAGCACTGAAATTATTCAGTTAAATATGCTCTAAAATATTTATGCATCTCAAGAAAACTATATTTTTACACATGAATTTAAGAATTTTTGTTTAAGTTTATCCATTTTTGATAGGTTTAATGTTAATTAAAAATGAGTTATAGTTATTTCAAATTTTAATCAATTTATGATAAGCAAAAATGTCTTAATATTAATTTTTTGATTCAATAAATATATTAGGTCTACAAATTTTTAGAAGAACTAAACTTTTGCACTATTAGATCTGAGAGTAAAATGTTGTAGTATCATTTTGCATTTTTATGTAGAATACAAAAAAAATTTCTAAGTACCTATACTTAAAGACTTCACTTTGCTTATAAACTTATTCTTCTTATCAATTATGAAAGTTATGATACTACTTTTTTGAATTCAAAACTATGCCTACAAAGAAATATGTTTTATTAAAATTATCTACCAACACTTTAAAAATGTTAACTACAAATTTATTTTATTAAATGAACCAATTTAATTTTGACTATACTGGCATCAGGTATCATCATAAAGTTTGAATGAAACATGCTTATTATACCAATAAAATAGAGACAAATATCATATGTACTTTTCAGTACCTCAAATAGCAACCTTGTGTGATACACTATGTATTTAAGATTTAAACTAATTGCTTCAAAAAATGACTTATTTTTATAAATTATAAAATAACTAATTATTTCATAGATTATTGTTTAAAATATTATTTTTTAAATTAGTAAAATCCTGTTTAAAATTTTATATAAAATGAAAATATGTATGAAGCAAACTTTTTTATTTTCTAAAAGTAGTATAATATTGTGATTATTATACTTATTATAGTTATAGGTTCAATTTTAGCTTTGGAACATTATTTATAAATTCAAATGCAATATAAAATTTATTTTTACCTTGTAATAATATAAATATGTTTATTGATTTTTTGTGTATAGATACTATTTGAAGGCTTGGATCAATGGTCAATGATAGACGAACAAGTTTTAGCTTTGACAATAATACATCCAAATCAAATTGTTGATCAAACAATGATAATAGCTGCATGTAAAGATTTATCTGTGTATTGTATGAAATTTCAAACAGCTGAATATTTATTTAAGACTTCACAAATGGTAGATCAAATTTTTGCTTCTTTTGATCATAATGTTTTGAACATAGCATTTTTACTAAAACAATGTATTAAAGTAAATGAAAAAAAAATTGATCAAGCAATAGAGGTAAAACAAATTTTTATATAAATTTAGTAAAATGCTTATTTATTATTGTTATTTATTTTTTTTTTTTTTTAGATCTGGTCAAATAAAAAGAGATATGAAGTGTTTGTTCATGATTTCATTAATTGTTTTTTGTTTCATGATAAAGTTATCTTGCTTTACAATATTCATGGGATTTATGTAATTATATTAATTTTATTTTCATATATATTTAATGTTTTGTATTATTTTGTATGAATATGATAATTTTTATAGCTTTTTATGTTATGATTTTAAACATTTTTATATTAGAACTATTTTTTTTTAACTATTTAAATATTATTTTTTTTAAACAGATATTAAATTTATGTGATGAATCTATAATAAAATTGGAGATTAATTGTATTAAAATAAATGGAAGCTTGATGCTTGATTCATCACATTTAGCTGTGGTTGACAATGGCAATCATTTGAAAATATATCAATTGACTTTTGATTTAAATTTAAATTTAATTGATCAGTATCCATTGCCATTCTTAGAACACGAGGTCACACCCATTAGTATATCTAACGACAAGAAGTTTATTGCTATTGGTGGACAAAAGCATATTGTTGTAAGTATAATTATTTAATATGTTTTAAAATAAATATAATTTAATATTACTCTTTATTAGTTTATTGACTATACATTAAAAACTATAAAATGTCACACAATTGGTCCAAATGTGAATAATATACAATCAATGATTTGGTCGTCAGATAATTCATGGATAACGATAAAAGAAGATAATCAAATAATTACACTCGATGTTGAAACTGGTAAAATATTAGCAAGTGTGAGATTAACAGTTGATAAGTTTTTTGTCAATTCTGAACTAAATAAATATATTGCAGTAAATACCACTGGCCAGTTAGTAAAGTTAAATTTAAACAACTAATTTGACTTTCTGTATTAAAGTATTTTTGTAGACACTAAAGTACTTTATGATTTTAAACACTAAAATACATTAATATCTTTCACAAAAAGTTCACAACGTATGTAAATTAATTTAATACTTGAAAATTATATGGTTACTCATTGGATGCATTAAAAATTAATAATCAACATATAACAGCAAAAAAGCATTACGTACAATTTCTGTGTATATTGTTTTACTTGGTCTTAAAATGGTGCTATAAATGTGTATAATTAGATAATACTCTAATACATAATTTTAAAATATAATTATTTTATAAATTTTCATTAAATGTAATGATTTAGTTTTCAACAGTTTTCCTATCACTTTAATAGAATAGTTTTCAAAATAATCCTATTTATTTTTTCTTAATAATTTTTATTTTCTTACAAACACATTAAATGATACCTATTTAAAATAATAATTATAGTATTTTAAAAGATTTTTCGAATTTAAATATTACTTGCCCTAAAAGCAGTTTAAAGACAATAATAAAATATATTTGTAGTTATCTAATTGACTGATCTAAGAATTTTTATTTTAACTTAATCTAAAATATAAGATGATTTAATTACAAAATTGTAAATCTAAAATATCTATTAGTATTACTTTATTTAATTGTTAACATCACACTTGCTAATTGCTATGTACTTATTTAGGCATTTAAAACTTTAAAAGTACAAAATAATGGTACAATTAAATAATTTTTTTATGTAAATTTAAAATATACCTATAATTTTTATACTTAATTATGATTGTAACCAATGATCTTTAAATGCATTTATATTTCTGTGAACAAATTATGATTAAAAAAGATTCATAAGTACAAATTTCAAGTATATTTAAAAAACGTGATATTTATATTAATATGTTGTGCCGATATTGACTATTGTATCGAAAAAAAACTATATTTTAATTTAAACTAAAATTTATAGTTGAATAATATTTTTGATACTTCTTGTTATTTTATTATTTATATTTCGTAACATTGTAAAATGTCTTACAAGAGTTCACTAATTTTAAATAACTGGGTAATTTAGTTTTATTTTTATATCTCATCATTTTTAAATCAGTGAGTGTTGTCAAACATAGTTTTAAGTTTATAACTTAAAAAATGATAGATGATAGTTTTTACTGACTAATGTTTAATCTTGTTCAATACAATGTTATAAGTGTCAATTTTTTTGTACCTTTTATATTTTGATTAAATATTTTTACACTTTTATTTTTACTGTTAATATTGAATTATAATTGAAAAAACATTAATTTATTTGTAATATTTGTAATATTTGTAATATATATTTATATTTGCTCAAACTGTTTTAACACCATATTTGCTTACTTATTATAGTTACAATATTTTTTAGTTTTATTATATTTATAATATTGCTTATTTCATACCTCTATTTGGTATTTTATTAATGACTATTAGAATGAAATGTAAATATTAACACATCTTTGGGCAGTTTAAAATTTCATTATTAATCATTATGCATGAGTAGGAATGCAACATTGCTGCAGTGGCGTAACTAATAGAGATTAGAAAGTACAGACGAACCAGGACCAGTTCTCTTAAGGGATCCAAAATAATACAATATTTTTCTTCTAGTAATTTATAATAGATTATTTAACTATTATTTTATTTTTTTAACAATTCAAATTTATTATACAATTTTGAATTAATAAAAAATTCAACAATATTTTTAAAGTATATTTAAAATAATGTTAGTAAAAGCACTCTCCCCCCTAAAATCTATAATCAGATAATATCTGAATGAGTGAGTTGTTGAAAATTTCACTTTTGGATCTAAATTTTGAAATTATATCACTAGGACACTATATACGTTATACTGACTATTGGATAGACAAATAATCTGAAGAACACATAATATCATGTATAATATTATAATAGTTGTATTATATTAGGTGAATATATGAATAATACGCGATATATTTTTTTGTTTTTTAAATTATATCTCATACTCTAAAACTTATTAATACATATTCAGAAGTAACTAATTTCTTATAGCTAATACAAGATATAATTATTCGTGTGTTAAATATTGAACCATAAAGTAAATTAAGTATTAATACTTTTAAAAATATAGTTTAGCGCACAACAAATTTTCAGGGTTATACCTATAAACTATACTCAATATAAATCCCCTAAGCAATTACAGTGAAACCTCGATAACTCGAATCGGTTGGGGGGCGAAAAAAAAATTCGAGTTATCGAAAATTCGACTTACAGAGGTTACACATATGATATTTTATAAAGTAGAGGCCAAGACATTCTTTCGAGTTATCGAAAATTCGACTTATAGAAGTTCGAGTTATCGAGGTTCCACTGTATAATTAATTTGCTACACAATAATATGATGATGACATTTTCAACGTCCTTCATTTTACATTTATGTTTTGAATTGTGCGGGGACATATTGATAGAGCAAGTATTGATTATTCATTTAAAAACGTTAAAAACCTCAACAATCAAAAGCAAGAATTTAAAAAATTTAATCGTGTAAAAAGATTGTAATTGGTAAAGCATATTAATACTATAGCATTGTGTAGAATGTAATAATTATCATATGAGAACCTTTTATATTTTAATAATTGTTGAACATCATCAGGGACTATAATATAGACAGCCTGACACTTGACAGCCAATCGTTAATGACGACCGCGAGAGTCGGACACTATCGTCTGTCAAAGCCTCATAGGCATAGTCTATGAGGGTAGGTACCCTAATATTGTTTTACGCGTCGAAATAATTGCTCTGTATAATAATATATTATTTTATTTCATTTGTAATGTTTAAACATATTATGGTTTGGTCGTTCGACATAATCAACTCGCGTGTCGACGACCGGTGTCCTCCAATTGACACACTGTTGACGAGACTATAAAATAAAGTCGCAGCATAACAAAACCATTATACATAATAATAGTTATATTGTCGTACCGTCGTACCGAACAACCTTATTATATACATAATAATATTATAATTTAGAATGCATTGTCGCCTAGAGCAGGTGGAAGTGGTAACAGTTTATTGTAACCGGGAAATTAGTTACGGAGTTAAATGGTAAATAGTTTTACTTTTAAGGTAGGCGGTATGTTATTGATAACGATAGGTCACAGCTCGACGCTCGTAAACCTTACGAAATATTCAAATACATGTGCATGTTATTACATCAGTTTTATCAGTCTTATTCATAATAAAATTTTATTAATTTACCGTTTTACACAGTACTGTTGTCTGTAATAGCGGTAGGTACGTAGATTACCTATAAACTATATGTTATATTGAATAACAAAATATTAATAAATATGCTAAATATAGTTAAATGGTATAGCACGAAATATACGTTCGTCGACCTGAGTTTTTATCTGTCATTTGTCAGTGATTGTTTTTTTATAAATTATAATGCAATTATCAGTCTAAAAGTCAGACAGCAACTTCGTGTCAATAAATAGCAGGTATAGGACATTAGTTACTTTAGTCTTTATTCAATTTTTGCAACTCAATTTTTTTTTTTTATTAGAAGCCCCTAGAACTGACGACGACAGGACTGTTTCCACAGTACTTCCCGATTTTATTTTAACCAATTCAACGAGGCACAAAAATGAATTTAAAATACATATTTCCAAAAGTTGAAATGTATAAACACATCGTTATAATTTTTTCAACATAAATAATTCATATTAAGAAGTTACGATTGCTGTATTTAATACCTATATATTATTGAGTGTATAATTTTATAATCTATAATTCAACTTTTAATTTTGAGGAAATGTCTGTTTTACAGCCTACACTTTACTGAGTTTACAGAATACAGAGTGTAAGCCACAGATAAGATAAATAGACGGATCAATGTTAGTTCAAAACAAATATCTTATATGTATTCTAGAAATAACAAGGAAAAATAAATAATTGATGAACGTGGTGGCTATTTTTTTATTTTTTTTTATCGGTGGTTAATTTATTAAAATTGATCAAAAATTAAAATTTTAAATTTGTGTTAAAAATAACAAAACGTATATTACAAGCTCTTCTATAGTATCGAAGGATGAAGGATGAAGAAATATCTTTGACGAAACACATTGTATGTATTCAGAATTACAAACCCACAAAGAAGTCCAAACTATCATGTTTTATGATTACAAGTTACAACTAACAGATGTCTGGACTTTAAAAACAATACGTCATGATGTTGATTATATATTTATTTATAAACTATAATCTAATTATTCTAATATAATACACCACAATACGATATAATATTATATAATGCTTATCTTAATTAGTGAATAAGCGGTAACCATTAAGTAATAAGTATTATATATAACATGTATAATTGTATCAAGTTCATTTATCATAGGAGTACTACGGAAGTACCTACAGACTTCGGTGTAGTGACTATATAGTATATAGTGAAACGATTGGTCTGAAATTCTGAACTGAACCTCTGCCACGAGTATTTTTGGTTGTGTGTTATTCGTTGATCGTTCGGTGGTTATCAGTTATCAACTATTATCATTAATTGATGACCGACCAGTGAAACTTTAAAAGGCAAACGTTCTTATTATGTTTTCTGTTGCTTTTTAGTTTTTATCTTAACAATTTGGAAAGGTTTACCTTGTGATACATTTGTTATTATTATGCAATTATATGTTATTCGTGTAATCGAGCGTTGCTGATTGATAAGTAGTACAAAGTACTGTTGGACGTTGGTAGGGTAGTCGGTCACTCGGTAGTCAGTCGATTCCAGTACGCACTACACTGCCACGCTATGTGCACTTCGTCTGCCCCTCAAAAAGATTAGCGCCTCAATCATCATTATGTACTTTACCTTCGGAACGGACATCGATCCGTTCCTGGTGAAAAACTTCAACGTGCAATCTACAATTGGCAAGTATATTACCATCAAATTAGTTTTCAATCTTAATACGTTAATTTTTCGTTTCACTAGGGTTGGTGACATTATGTGTTGGTTTGACAGCGCTGGCAGTGGTCTTCGAATCACTAAAGACTGTACATTTCATGACTAGGGTTCATCGACGATTGTTATGCTGCAGTCAGCCGGATTGTAAAGAATTAATCAATAAAGATAGATTCATACTAACATTTAGAATGAAAATTTTTGAGTAAGAATTTAAAACCAAATAATAACAAGACAAAATAAAATAAAATCAGTATTATTGAACTAAATAAATATTTATGTATTTTGATTTAAATTTCTTTACTTTAGTACCTACCTAAAGTATGTGAACAATATTAATTTAATGTTAAAAATATCTTATTATTGTAAATTTGACATAAGCAATTTTCAGAACCATTATTATTTTTGTTTTGTAATATAATAATTATTGTTCATTTATTTTTATTTTGACAATAATTTTTGCTTGAAAGTTATATAGTAAAAGACCATTTAAAATATATTATGATTATTTCTTATCTAGCTGCTTTAGGACATTGAGTGTTTACATGTTTCAAATGTTGGTTGGATACATTTTAATGTGTGCAATAATGACATTCAATGGATACATTTTTTTTGCCACCGTTGGAGGATATGGTCTGGGATACTGGTTGTTTGGCTTAACAATGATGCATTTGTCAGCAAGGAATTTACTAAAATCCCAAGATGGTCCAATCAGATGTAAAAACTGTACTAAAATCAACATAAACAGTAAGTGTTTTAAATATCATTATTCATTAATAATTATTTAGTATGTACATACATACTTACTATATTAATAAAGTATTTTTATTTCATTTTTTTCAGAAAAAGATATCTCAGAAGATAGTATCAGTACTGATTTAAGTGATGATATAGTACCAAGCACAAGTTCTGTGGTTGAAGTGGAAATACATAATAGATCATAATTTTAAGAAATATGTTTAAACTTCTTATTACCTAATTTATTATTAAGATATTTAAAATATTTTTGTAGTTACCATTGAACCACAAAATATTTATTGTCAAACCAAAGATATTATTAATTAATTATTATTTATTTAAATCTATTTTAAACTGTTGATACTATTATACAAATTATTTTATTGTATTGAATAAATTGTATAACTAAAAATTAACACTAAAATATTTCAAATATCAATGCAAGGATAACATAAATGTCAAAATAATATTTTTAATTAGTGATAATTAATATATATAAAAAAAAAAAAAATCGCTCATTTTAAGTTTTCAATTGAAGTGACAAAATATAAATGTATTATTTTTATAACTCAATAATATTAATTTTCAAATGGTTTTACCATACATTTGTTATGTACTATTAAACACGTTTATTTTTTTTTTTAGGCTAATAAAATAAATATTCAAGTATTACTTTTTTAAGTATATATATTTTGGAATATCAATGAAAATTTGTAATAATATTCTTGTCAAAAAACATGTTTGTTGGTTTAATCATATAATTTCATAATTCTTTATTGATAAGTAGTTAATGTTATATTTTTGTTTGATTCATTGTTATTATTTTTTCTAATTTTATGTATAGTTATTAACTAGGTTTAAGGTTCTTAATTTTATACTTATTAAAAATTTGTGTTAAAAATATATTTTTATTACAAATTGTAAATATACTTGTTAGTTAATAACCCTTACATTGTGTATCCTTAAAGTAAAGATCTTTTTTTAATGCCTTGATCTTTTAAAAATATACTATGTAAACTTTTTTGAAATTATTTTAAGTCATATTTAATAATATGCAGTTTAAAAATAGAAAGGAAATATTAAATAAAATAAATACGTTTTGTATAAATCCTAATAAGGATTAATTTATTTTATTACCAAACAGAAACTAAACAAATTGTATAACAAGAATAATAAGTAAGATTACTCTGGTTCTTTATAATCTTTCCATTCTTCTGGGTTCACGTCATAATCGACCATTATTTTTTTGAGGCCCCACCAGACGTTTAAAAACCCTATATCTATAGCACGCTTATGTACTGATAATATTGAAGGCTTTAAATATTTACAGTTTGCTTTGTATGCTTGTATATCATCATTAAACTCATCAATCCAAATGACAGAAAACAAAAGTAAATTCAGCCTTTTCACGACGCCCACATTATAACACTTTTCTATATATTCTAAATGTTGGACAGCAGATGGATTCCGTACAGCTGGAGAAATATACAGCATGTTGTTGGAGCAATCAATGATTTCAGATCTGTAACTACGTTCATCAGGGTTGGTTGATGCGCAATAATACGCACAACTAGTAGTTACTGCCATCAACAGGCTTTTTATTGGATTCGCTTTTGCATATGTTCCAATGCCCACTGTCGACTCATAATAATCCTTTGCCACGCTTTCCCAATACTGTTTCCAACGTTCAACAATCGTACCACGAAAACGTTCCGGAAACGAAAATCGGCTTGGATTTTGCTTAAGGCTGCTGCTACCCACAACAGTACTGTATAACTTGTTCGATCGGCGAACGTAGATCATGACTGCAGATTTCCAGGTGAACGATCTCAAGAGTCAGGACATCATTAATACATTCCGTTAGAAAATTTCGGTCTTAGACGTTTGAATATAATATTATTTTTCAGTTTGCGACAAAGTAAGTTGTTTCGTATAATACAAGTTACTACTGAGTAGTGACTAGTGATTTAAGACTAGTTACTACAGACCACGAACTAAGATATCTTAGTTCGTGCTACAGACAGTACAGACGTCAGACAGTATGTCGTAAGGTACTATAGTTTCTACTGTTTCTAGTTTCTACTGTTTCTAGTGTTTCTACAGGGCGTCAGGCACTTTTCCCGAAATTTCATGGAACGAAAAAAAAACAAGACCAAGTGATCTCGTCCCACAAATGTACCAACATAAAATCCAAAATTCCCAAAGCATTTCCCAAATTTATGTAATTTCAACTTCAAAAATTATTGTACAATTATTGTATAATTTAAATTTATGTATTTTTAAATTCAAATATTATTGTATTTAGCTTACGAGCTGTTTCCCAGGAAAACCGTGAGAGATAGGACAAAAATCATAAGAAATTAAATTGATCCCCATAAGGAAATTCATAAGTTCTAAATTTTAGATTTTTCGAAAACGTGTTATTTAGGTTTTTTAAAAACATCGTAGACGTCAAATGGCTTTTAAAAAACTAAATTTTTAAACAATGACTTTTTGGAAAAATGAAATACTGGTCCTAGTGTAGAATCTCTAGGAGAACAAACCGACCTCTATGCAAAATGTTTATTCGGCCATCGGTTTACCGTGAAAACTGATAATTTCGCAATTTGGAAAATCACGTTTACCAGCTGTTTCCCGGGAAAACCGTGAGAGGTAGGACGAAAATCATGAGAAATTAAATTGATCCCCATAAGGAAATTCATAAGTTCTAAATTTTAGATTTTTCGAAAACGTGTTATTTAGGGGCATATAAACAAAAAGTTCAAAATAATTAGTACTTAAAACGTTAAATAGACGTATACCACAAGGAAGCATATATGGTTATACGAAAAATAATTTAATGCGTATTATTCAACTTTTTGCTTCTCAAATTGCGGGTGAAATAATGGTCGTACGTACTTTAACCATAGACCCTTTTTGAATGTTCGTACGCCAAAATACCAGAATCTCGAGTTTCATAGTGATTGAACGAAAATTCAAAATCCAAAAAACACGTTACTACGTAATTTTCTAAGTACAAAAAACATACGAAAAATCATAACTCCCGAACCAAAAGTCGGATAACCTCGATCTCGGAACCCATCGATCCGGAGCAAAGTCCTCTATAACATTCAACTACAAAAACGGTTTGTTGCGCCCAAATCTTAGTGCCCATGCCAAAAAAACAGAAAACAACGTCAATTTTGAACTTTCGAAGCCCCAAAATACAGGGAAAAACGGCTTCTACAATCTCGACACAAGACGCAAAATTTGATAACCCACTTTTAAACTATCCAATTCCCAAGTTTCAGAAACATCGTACAAAAATTAAACATTTTCAAAAATACACCTAGGTGGGTTTTCAAAGACCCCCAACTTTGAGAATGCTTCTTAGAAGAGTCTAAACCGAAACGTTTGGTGAAGAAATGATCCCCCTAAGTTGAAACCTGTCTGAAAAATACTTTATTGTTTAGATTATCTACCTATTTGTATATGTGTATTTATATTATATTAAAATACAGTATTTGTAATTAAGGTGATTTATTTTGAATAAAGGAAAATGTTTTTTGTTATCCGACAACTTAGATTTACTTTAAAATTTTTAAATGATAGGTAATTATGAATGTTCGCTGTGGATGAAGGACTTAGTATTTTAACAGAATTAAGCTGCAAATGGTATTGTGACTGAAATTTTAACCTCTGTACTTGACTATTTTATATTTTTATGCAATTATATGTTTATTATTTTATGCATACATAATAACTTAATTTATGACAAGTCTCAAAACCTTTAATGCTGAACAATAGGTATAGTAATTACAAAATAACAAGGGTAAATATTATGTTTTCTATTCAGAATTATTGTGGTCATCCATTTGTGGACGAGATTAATCACACATAGGAGAACGAGAAATTCTTAAACCAAAACTTTATCGGTAGAAAATTTTATGAGGATTCAAATTAAGTGGCCAGTATAACAAATTTTCCAGTTGTTAAATAGATAGCTTTCAAAAAGCATAAAAAAAACCAAAAAACAATACAAAATTTGCTTTATCAATTATTATAGATTATAAATTAGTATAACCAGAGTTATAGTTTTAGAAGGTTACCATTACAAAAGTCAACCAATAATTATTGTGGTTATTAAATTTTTTTTTGATTGTTTTTAATTTCATGATAAAGAAAAAATTATTAATTATTGATATTTTTTTAAATATTTTGCATTATTCAATTTCTAGTTTTTGTTTAATTGAATAATAAGTTCACTACAGTGTTTAAGTATATAAATTACAAATCTAAACAGTTCTCCTAAGATGTAGTTTTTGTAAGTCGTTCATAGTTATTGCCTATTGGTTATCATTTGTGTATTCTGTAGATTTTATTTTATATAACGTTGTAAATTATTTCTAGGTGCAAAGTATTAACAATGAATTAAAATCATCACAAAAACCATGTTAAACTCATGCTATCTACAACAATTACATTTAACGTTCATTACTTAATTCATGTAAGTAAGGTATAGTGTTAAAATTCTTTTAATAGGTATATTATTTATTTTTTACTATTCTATTGGGAATGTAAGCTATAAATTGTATTTCATCCTTAGAACTCTATTTTACTTTATTACTTAAGTTCTGATTTTCTGATCTCTTGTGGTTGTACCTTAAACACCTGCCTTAGATAAAAATATGCTTAATGTAGGTACAATAATAACTTAATATAAGCACAATCAGAGATATAATATTCCTAAAACACCTCAACTTATATGCCATTATAAAAATGGTCAATGCAATACTTAAGATGTATATTTTAATAAAACAATATATTGAAAGTACTGCTTTTCTTCATATAGAATCCATTGAATGAATGACGTTCATGTTGGTTTTTTGTTTAAATTACATAATACTTTACAAGTTGTATAAATTAGACCTTTGAGTAATATAAACTTAAAAATAACACCTTATACATTGCATTTAATAACTAAAAAAGGACAATTTACTAGGGATAATAGATGAAACAAATATAAAACAAATGATATATCATAGTAAAATAGTTTATTAAAAAATAATATAAATTTTATAAAAAAAATAAATGTATTCCATAAAAAGGAAAAATATAACTCACCATGTTAACATTATGCTAAACATAAAAAATGCAACTTACTGATCCTATTACAAAAAAAATAATCATACTAAGTTAATTACAAAATTGAAATAAAATTATAAAATATTTTTACCTGTGGATATGGTCCAAATATGCCTTGTACATATGCATCATTACGATGTCCAGCCCTTCTCAAAAATCCAATGAGGTCTTCATCTCTGTTGAGTTGTTCCACAAACCCTGCTAAAACAATGGTAGTGTTCTCTCGTTCCCTTCTTGATGCTCCATCTCTGATCTGAAATATATTTAAGAATAAAAATAAAAATTGTCATTTAATAATTTTAGTGATCAGGCCACATAAGCGTAGCACACTATTGATATTTTACATCTCGAAGAAAATTTATAAAATGTATGTGAAAATACAATTTTTTTTTATATTTTATCTATTTTTAAGAAAATAAACAAAGTGTTATAAAATATTAATACCCAGCATAAAAACATATTTTTGTAAAAAAAAATAAAAAAAAATTAATAATCACCCTGAGGTTTCTTCTGGCTTGGTCAAATTCAACAAAATACTGGTTTTCAATGACAGTCAGTTTCTCTGTAAGTAAAATTATTGATCAGTATAAAATAAATTATTGTAATATTTTATATAATTAATGTAAGAACAAAACTCAAAAAACAAATATACCATAACCAAAAACAAAAAATATAAAATACTTTAATTGAAAATAAAATTTTTAAACTGCAGTTAACTTACCAATTATTTACCATAAACTCCTTGTTTTAGGTGGTGTACACGTGACATAAATAAGATACATATAAACACAAACATATAGGACAAGGATGCAACATTGTATCACAACACTTCTTATAAGCATTAGTACTTATTGGGTTAAACATGAAACATGAAATAATACAGATTATATGATACTTATTATAACAAATATATAACACAGTGATGCAACATTTAAAACACTTAACACATCATATATTGCAAAAACTCACGAAGAAAATTCCATATATTAGGGTGTCTTTGCATTTGAGTTAGAAGTGTAGCATGGAAAGACTCCAAATAATTGTTGGTTCTGTATTCTTCTCCAAAAACACTGATTAAAGCTGGACCAACCTGTAACAACCAAAAACACTCCACATACCCAATTAAAAAATTTCTCATACCTCGTTCAATCACAGGAAACTGTCTTGTATAGCGCATGATAGCACTGAAACCATCAGCCATAGAAAACTGTGGACAGCGTGGGTCATTCCTAGCAGCGGGTAGATGAGGTAATGCCAACACCTAAAAATACATTAAAGTATTAAAGAGAAACACACTTTAATACAAATATCAAACTTAAATTTACCATTCTGAAAATTCGAGCTGCTACTGGGTTTGTACGGACTAAATTCAAAACGCTGTTCATCTTTCGGTGACAATACCGTACAATTGACTAGAAAATTTTTTTTTGTTTATAAAACGATCACTAAGTACATAAAAGTTATTACAAAATTACTTGTGTAAAATGGAACCAACAGCATCTTAATTGGCTTTCAGGAAATGATTGCTGGACAGCTGACATTAGAGCTTTTTCATAATCTGTGATAAAACAAACACGTTGATAATTTAAAGGCAAAATATTTCTTACAATTTCAAATAGAGCCGCATAAACTTCTTCAGTCATACTTCCCAGTAGAGCATAAACCATTGGAAAGGACTAAAAATATAAATGAATGAGTAATATATTAAGAAAATAGAATTTAGATTATACATAATTATAATATCAACTAGTAATTACTCAACACTTACAACACTTTTGAAAACAACCTGGATGGTAAGGAAACATTTCAAATCTGCTGGAACACGAGGCACAGTTTTGAACGTCGCATCAATCCCAACCAATGTGACAGTACCCAATTCTTCCCTGTATATGTCAAATGCATCTGTGTTGGCAAAGATCACACCAACATTCCTTCCATCGACGACTAAGGTTTGTTGAAAGAACCTAATAATAATTTTTAAAATATAATGCATAATAATAATAAACATTTAATTATAATACTATAAAATGCATTATAAAATATTGTTATAAAAAAAAAAATAAAAAAATATTTACAATCTTTATACATTAGTTTATACAATTAGCAAATTTTGAGGGCTTTTAAGAAAACAAAAGAAGACATATAGACTTGAGAGATTAGGTTAATCACAACTACAAATAAATATAAAAGTTTATACTACTTTAATTTGTTGTAACTGAATAATAATTAATTATGCAATTTGCACTTCAGTAACTAAAATAATAATTTTACTTATGTTAAAATTATCACATAGGTATATTAAATATTAATACCTATGTTATTAATTAAATACTAAATTATAAAAAACAATTTTATTTACCTAGATGGAGGATTTTGAGCTGTAGAAGCATAAATGGCATTACGGTCTTCATTCAGCGCAGCTGCAAGTTGTCCAATGTCAAGGGGCTGTCCTGGAAATCTTCGACGTCTCATCTTTTTCACTCGTTCTTGAGCCTGAATGAATGTGTAATTGGGAGCTGCTTCCGGATGGCTAATAAAATCAAAACCACAGTTTAAAATTTAGTCTAATGTCTAATTTAAATGTCTCACTTGATAATTTCATTATTGTATAAAGTTCTCATAAATGAGGTAGTAACTGCTGGATCAATTCCTCTTTCGCCAATAGCCTCTCTTAAAAATGGCACATTCAGGTCAATCACTCCAGGCTGGTGGTTGTGGTGAAATCCTAGATGTATTCTATTGTCATTCACATTTGTACTTACTATTGCGGTGGAAGGACAGAACTGGTCCCGTTTCTTCTGCCGTTCACATACTAAATACCTATAAGATATAAATACAGTAATGTCATAAATCATAATATTATCATCATTATTCATTACCTAAATAGGTAGGTAATTATATTGTTTTAACTAATTATACTTACACGCGTTGTCCTTTAACTTGTCGTTTGTAATACTTGAATCCCAGATTATCTACATATATTCTTGATTTATTATGAACTCCAGGAATCAAAGTATATGTTTCTGAAATTCCTTGTTCTTCTTCCTCAAATATCTCAACCTCTTCTTCCTCAAATATCTCAACCTCTTCTTCCTCAAATATCTCAACTTCTTCTTCACGGACTATCTCATCATCTTCATAAACAATTGGCAGGAAGTAGTCGTGGTCCATCAAATGATGTGGGAGAACAACAATTTCCTCAACAATTTCCTCGTTGTTCATCATTATTAACAGAAAATTGAAGCGTCTGAAAGTGAAAAACGTCTCCTTCTCGCAAAAACCGTTACAAATACAAAAATAATTAGAAAATACAAAAAGGCGGGAATTTTGAATACATAAATACGTCATTATTGATTTTGTATTACAAGGTGGTGCATGTTTAGGAATACTAAATTCTGATTTGAAAATTTGAATTTATTTGATGTTGGCTATGTTGGTTTATCTTCTTTTCATTTTTTTTTCCCATCCATGAAATTTCGGGAAAAGTACCCCAATCTCGTTTCTACACATCTTCGTTATCAGTTTATCAACTCACTATTTTTATTTATCATAATGCTTATTCGCTTATGTTGGTAATGAATACAGATTTGCCAACGTCCCCCGTTATCAAGGACCGCAAACGGTATCGCGATAACAAGAAGCCAAGTGTCTGGAGGATTCCGGACTCAACTCTTGAATCCTGGAAGCTGTTTTTGGAAGTGTTAATATTTTATTTTCTTACCCATTCAGTGACTGTAGGTTTTGAAGTGTATTTTTTTTTGTGAAATTTGAGTATATTGTACAATGATTTTATTAAAGTAAAGTATTTGTGTTTAGTTAATTATTTTTTTGTTCGCACACTTTACGCTTGACTGTCACAAAATGGTCAACCCAATCGAAATACCCTTAAAGGATTCTGACGAGGTATATAATGTTTTTATCTTACATTCAAGGTTTTATGTAACTTTCTAGTATACAAACCTGAAAATTAATTTTAAAGTGTATGCATTTTGGCTTAATAACTTTGTACCATCAAATTTATAAATGTCGATATTTTTAATATACCTATACATATACATATAATAAACATTTTTTAACGTACTAACTATTTAATGAATAATTTAACAAATATATTTAGAATTTTTAAATATTATTAATTCAATATAGTGGTGTTTTATAATAGATAGTATCTTAAAATATAACAATTATGATAGATAAATCATTTAAATTTAAAATAATGATAACTATTGTATATGAAAATTAGTACTAGGTGTCAATATTTAGTTAAAACTGCTCTTTCTTGTCTAAATTAATAAATATTTTGTATTATTTTAATAATATAATTAAAAGTTCTAAACATAACTTTTAAGTTAGCTAATTTATAGTTTTAGTGAATACCTAAACATTTGTTGGAGTATTTTTACTTTAAAAAAAATTACATTCTAGTAAGCCTGCAATAGTTACTCCATTCACGATTCGCACTATAAATTCTGAAATTATACAGTTAGATGTGGTTTTGAACTGTTAGTTTTTCTGATTAATACTTTAAAAGCAAAAAAAAAAAAAATTATAATAATTGCAAAGCATGACTATTATAAATAGTTATGATAATATTAATTTTTAAAAATAAATTATTTCCTTTTTTAAAATTATCAATTTTAACACAAAATATTTGCCATAATTTACTTCATATTTTTATTTATCATTTACAAATCCGACATTTTTGTTGCTTGTAATAAACTATAGTATAACTATAACATTATATTGTTCAATAAATATTCCATAAATATAATACTTACAAAAAGCAGTTGATATTGTAAACTTCCAAAATTCAACTAATTAAAGTTAATGAAATTTAAGTTTATTGTATAAAAATTATTGTTACTTTTATAATTTTAAAAAAAACCTCATATAATTTTCATATTATTAGTGTTATATTTTCTTTGTTAGTATTAATAATATTCTTAGAGATAAATGTATTTTTACAAAAACTATAAAATATATAAATAATGTATTACCAATCATTTTTTATTTTTAATAACTATGAACAAATTAATCAGGTAATAAAAGAACTGTATTAGTTGTAAAAAAAAATTATTTTATTTGCTGTTTTTATCTTTTATATTTCATATTACCTTGTAATATTTTTAATTAATAGCTAATGTTTTTAAATTACAATAAAATTTTGATTAAATATCTAACTGACAATGTTAAAATTTCTTTTTTAGGTTATTGAAATACAACTAGACAAGCTGCCAGAGTATGATGAAGTACTTGGCATTTTAAAGTCTGAACATTCAAATTTACATATATGGGTCAATTTAGCTGTATGTTTTGTTTATTAACTTAATTGATTTGAATATAATTCTAAGATAATCTTTCATTTTTAACAAATTTTAGTTGGAGTATTACAAAAGAGGAAATTCAGCTGCTTTAGTTAGATTGTTGGAGTCATCACGTAGTAATGCCAGCTTAGAATATAAAGATAGTGATAAGGATCAAATGAGAGCTCTAGATATGTTAGCAGCATATTATGTGCAAACTGCTAATCGAGAAAAAAGTAAAGATAAACGTCGTGAACTTTTTACCAAGGCCACACAACTTTATACAACAGCAGATAAAATTATTATGTATGATACGGTAAGAATGTGGTTATAATTTGTAAATTGTTTCTATATGTTTTCAAAGTCAAATTGAATTTTTTTAAATTTATAGAACCATTTGTTGGGACGTGCTTTCTTTTGCTTATTAGAAGGTGATAAAATTGAACAAGCAGATGCTCAGTTCAATTTTGTACTGAATCAATCATCTAATAATATACCAGCTCAATTAGGTAAAGCATGTATTGCATTCAACAGGAAGGACTACAGAGGAGCTCTAGCTTATTATAAAAAAGCATTGCGTTCTAATCCTCAGTGTCCTGCTGATGTTCGACTGGGCATGGCACATTGTTTTTTGAAACTAGGAAACGTAGAAAAAGCTCGATTAGCATTTGAACGTGCTTTGCAATTAGACTCCAAGTGTGTTGGTGCATTAGTAGGTCTTGCTATCATGAAGTTAAATGGTGAAAATCCAGGTGACATCAAATTAGGTGTAAATATGTTGTCAAAAGCATATACAATTGATACCACCAATCCAATGGTATTAAATCATTTGTCCAATCATTTTTTCTTTAAAAAAGATTATACCAAGTCTGAATTACTTGCTAGACATGCTTTACAAAATACAGAGAATGAAGCTATGAGAGCAGAAAGTTGTTATCAAATGGCTAGAGCTTTTCATGTACAGGTAATACTAAATACGGGTTTTTTATTGTTTGTTGATACTATTTTACATAATTTTAATATGATATAACTTTTAGAATAATTATGACCAAGCATTTCAATATTATTATCAAGCAACTCAGTTTGCACCGGTTACATTTGTACTACCACATTATGGCCTTGGTCAAATGTATATTTATGGAGGCGATATGGAAAATGTAATATTTGTTCATACATTTATTCTTTACATGAATTTATTTTAATGCATTTTTTCGGAATTTATTTAGGCGGCTCAGTGTTTTGAAAAAGTACTTAAAGCTCATCCAGGAAATTATGAGGCAATGAAAATCCTTGGTTCATTGTACGCTGATTCAAAAAATCAACAGAAACGAGATATTGCAAAGAGTCATTTAAAAAAAGTATGATGTTTAAAAATTTAAAAGATATGTGTAACTTTGATTTCTATTTTATAACTTAGGTTACAGAACATTTCCCAGATGACGTAGAAGCTTGGGTAGAATTAGCTCAAATATTAGAACAATCAGATTTACAAGCATCATTAGCTGCCTATGGTAAAGCTATGGCTTTAATGCGCAACAGTGCAAATAGTTACATTCCACCTGAAATACTTAATAATGTGGCTGCATTAAATTACAGGTATACATTTTGTCAAAGTTAAAAAAATTATAAGCATAAATGTTATATCAATTATTTTTAATTACAGGCTTAAAAATATGGACGAAGCTCGTTCCAAACTTGAAGAATCCTTGAGTTTGTCAAAGAAAATGGTTGAAGCTGATCCACAGCATTATAACTCTATTGCAGTTACAACTACATATAATTTGGCAAGAATTTTTGAAGCACAATGCCAATTTCAAAAGGCAGAAACATTTTACAAAGATATTCTCAAGGAGCATCCTAATTATATTGATTGTATTTAAAATATTTGATTAAGTTATATGCTATGATTGTTAAAGTTATAAATTAAATTGCAGGTTATTTGCGTTTGGGTTGTATGGCTCGAGATCGTAATCAAATTTATGAAGCGTCTGATTGGTTTAAAGAAGCATTGCGTATAGATAATGAACATCCTGATGCCTGGTCATTACTTGGAAACTTGCATTTAGCCAAAATGGAATGGGGTCCTGGACAAAAAAAATTTGAACGTGTGTTGAAGGTGAGTCAATTATAAAGCTTGTATGTAATCCAAATATATTAACTATTATTGTTTTAAGAATCCTTCAACATTAAATGATTCATACTCATTAATTGCTCTGGGAAATGTTTGGTTACAAACTCTACATCAACCGACTAGAAATAAGGACCAGGAAAAAAGACATCAAGATTTAGCATTGCAGTTTTTTACAAAAGTATTGAAAAATGATCCAAGGAACATTTGGGCTGCTAATGGAATTGGTGAGTGATTATGTATTTATATATGTCGTAGCCACTTTGTGAAATCAATTTTTTCATGAAGAAATGGCCATTTCATGAGATGAAAATAGATTTTTTATATTTCGTGAAATTTGAAAATATTTTATGAAACGGTCATTGGAATTTAACATAGTGTAATTTTTGTACTTGAAATAACTAATAATGAATTTAATCAAATTTGACCTATTCGTTAAAAGTTATATTTCAGTACACAAAGTAAACGACTAAATTGTGAAAAAAATTACACAACGTTAAATTCAAATGACCACTTTACAAAATATTTTTAAATTTCACAATGTGTAAAAAATTTGTTTCTATTTTATGAAATGGCCATCTTTTTATGAAAACATCGATTTCACGAAGTGGCTATGATATATTTATATAACTAGCTTGTTCTGCCATAAAAATTATTAGGTTAGTCACTAGGATATTGTTGAGTTTTGTTTAAGCTGTAGTGTAATGAGATGTAGAAATATTATTTCATTTCTTACACAATGTAGTTATTTTAAAAATATTAGAATTTTATTTAATTTCATGTTTGTATTCATGTTAAGTGCAATTATTATTTAAAGATTATTTTGCTGGAGAGAGTAATTACATTTATTTTATATATTTTTAAAATTGTGTATGTTATTTTATAATAAAAGAATCCAACAAAAAATAAATAATTAATAATATATAAAAATTTTACTAAAAATAATTATGTCTATTAAGGTTGTGTTATGGCACATAAACATTGTATTAATGAGGCAAGAGATATATTTGCTCAAGTAAGAGAAGCTACTGCTGATTTTTGTGATGTCTGGTTGAATATTGCACATATATATATTGAACAAAAACAG